CAGACTATGGTGGTCAGCCTGGAAAACCCCTACCTGAACTGGGAAGGTTGCCCAGATCACCATTATGCCCTGACTACTGAAAACCCAGGTTCGACCAGTGAATGATAGAGATTATAGGCGATTTACATATCGGAAAATGATGACATCCAAATGAGTAGGCGCTGTGCTGGCAGGGGCACGACGGGTATTAGGCTGGAGTGGAGCATCCATGGACCACAAACTAACCAAGGACCCATTTCAGGGTTCGGCCTAAGTGAACTCAAAAGAGGCCATGATACACCCCACAAACTAACCCCTCCCATCGCAGCACATGACGAAGTCATGGAAACCCCGTAGACCCAGCCCAGCCGCCCCCACCAGCACTGCGCGCACTCACTCTTCCGCCGACCACCCCAATATGCTCACCACCCCAATATAGCACTCAAAGGTCTTACCTGGGAGAGTCCTCCAAAGCGTAGATCCTCCAGTGCACAGGGTCCGACCAGATCCATCTTCGCCTGATGGCTCAGCTTGTCGTTGCTGGGACGGGTGTGGCAGGGGGTGTCACTAGGCACGCAGGTGGGGGGTGTGAGTGGACGAGGCTCACATGGCGTAGAGGCCTTAGGACACACTTTACTTGCCCTGGCACACCCGCGACCCAGATGGAAGAAGATCCAGGTGCAGAGCGAGAGAGAGATACGTGTTGCACTGGAGGAAGCTAAAGAGGAACCCTATTTATTCATAAATATAACTGTAACATGTGTCATGCATCATTAAAAATACCGATTTTTATATCTACCACCCACCCACCCCTTCCCCATCCTACTCATCTTAGGATTTACTCAGGTAAGATACGCGACCAGGAACCACCCACCCATATTTTCGACGACGTACTAAATATATTAACGCCCCCATTAAGGCATATCACGTGATCATGTAAATAGGATTTGTTTTAAATTTGAATAAGATAATCGACCAAATTGCATGAAAAATATTAATTTTTTATGATTTCATACAATTAGCTGAATTGTATCTATACATGGTGAACCTACTGTTCACTCAGTATTATCAGTCGCTAAAAGTCCTGAAAGGTTACCTGGCAGGTAAAATAAAATTTAAAAAACCTATCAGTACAGCTTTGCTTAGCCCGAACCAGGATTAGTAAACCCATGTTCGTCTGTAGTTTTCTATAAAATTGTGTGCTATTCTTTTACACTAATTTTTGCATTAACTAGCATCAATCTTTCGTACTACTAGGCTCCAAATTCTAAAAATATTTACTATCCTTATCCTATCCTTGACAACTTCCCAGTGGGGGTCGCCTCTATAGCCCCTCTGGTTAATTTTTGTAACAAAAATTTTGTTCATATTTAACTTCATATTATTTCATAAGAAAGCAGTAAGAATCTCTGGTCCAAATTTCAGCTTTCTATGTTAATTTCTAAAAATCGGTATGAGTCACCCCATAGGGTCGCTCGAGATAAAAATTTTTCCAATTTCATGTCATATTATTCCATTAGGACCTATAAGCAACCTCTCCACCAAATTTCAGCTCGATATGACGATTTTGAAAAATCACTATGGGCCACCCCCTAGGGTCACTCAAGATGAAAATTTTTTCAACTTACACCGTTTTTTTCTATTAGGAGCCATTATCAACCTCTGTGCCAAATTTCGGCTTTCTACGACAATTTCGAAATTTATTGGTGCATAAGACCCCACCCACTCCGATGACCCCCACGGGTCAACCACTTGACCGATTTGGCCCATCTTCGAACTCGTTTCCTAACTTTGTCCAATATGCATATGGTAAAAATTTCAAGTCAATCGGTCAACTCGTTCGAGAGTTATCGAAAGACAGACGGACAGACGAACATGACAATTACATAAGCCCTGGTTCGGGCTAAAAATTCAAAAAATAACTTGATTCACGATGACGAATGGGACAACCCGTCTTATAATGCCTCAACGCTGCTATGCCCGACCAGGACCCAGTGCTCACATGCGATTTCGTGGAAAGCTGAGACATAATATGTCTCATATCTTGCCACTTCTTGTACTCGCCCGGGGCGAGTCTCATTCTCACCCTCACTAAAGCTGGATTTCCACTGCCGTGAGTCGTGAGCGACCTACGACGGAAAGCGTCCGACAGCGTCCAGCTACATTTTCCGCTCCATTTCCATTTCCACCAATGCGCTACCTTGGGCAGATCATCCGCTAACGGAAGCGGACGATTTGCCGTCAAACAATCCGCAGCGTAGAGCGGACGGGTGGAAATGCTCGTTCTTTTATAAAATTAATCACAAACCAAAACATAGATTTTAGGGAAAAATGCAGACACATATTTAAAAACTTATCTAAAAACATATCTAAAAACCAAACAAGTGAATTCAACTGTGTAATGAATGAAATAATTTAATTCGAGCACGTAATCAAATATTTACTATGTGTGATCAAATTTTAATATATTTATAATACTTGTAAATATAAAAATCAATTCAAGGTGATTCAATAAATAATTAGAGAATATGTATTAAATTTTATTATTTTAGTTGGGGCGCCCTGGTTTCTGGTACAGAAATTTCCTTTCAAGCTTCTTCTTTCGAGCTTCGTCCGTCAGGGGATGATTTATTTCGTGCATTCGTTTAGCTATATCATGAAGGGCCTTGTTCAAATTTTTACCACAATCTGGGCGGTGATGAAAGGGATGTGCACAATTCCAGCAACCTTCATCAAAGAAGTAGAAAGCAAAGGCAAGTTGGACTTCTTCTCGACTCAGCTTGACCTTCAACAATTCTTCATAAAAAGAAACCACCTCTCCTGCCGGGCGCCCGGGTAGTCGCATTTGAAAGGAATATCTCCCTGCAGGTTCAAATTTCTCGTAGGTAGTCTGGTCTTGGTTTCTATAAAAAGACAATTCCTGATTATCTTCACATTTATGAAAAAGAGAGGTAACAATACCTTACCTAATAAAACATTGAAGTTTGCATTCATTTGTAAAATGTGAAGCACTTTCACAATTAAAGCAGGTGGAGTCGTCAATCTTCTTGTTTCTGGAAATTCTACTGCCACCTCGGCCAACTACCAGGGCGTTCAATTTTTTATTCAGTTTCTTAATTCGTTCTTCAAGACCTCGATTCGTTTCCATCAAATCGACGGCAACGTTTGGAAATCCTGGGAGAATCTGTCGTTTGAGCTCTGCAAGTCGCTCACCCCTAGCTTCTGGCTCCAGGTCCACGATTTTGAAACGTTGGGACCGACTCCAGTTGAGATCCAGCTCAACAAACCGTTCCAGAGGCCAAATGAGTTGTGTTGGTGGTGTTTTCAACCCATTGGGCATTCGGAGTTGCATTTCTTTGAGCAGATCCGGAAATATAAATCCCCGTTCCAGCACCTCGGTCCGCTTCTGAGAAATATGTCCAAAGAATCCCAAACGCTGGCGAGCTTCCACTCCCATCGCATCACTTTCCTCCCACAAGACTGGTTCAATGTCGGGCTTGGCAAGTTCTTTGGCATGGGCCGAGTAATCCCGTTTAAGAATTTCTAATGCTTTCTCAAGTGTTTTGTACATTCATTTTTTGCATTGTTTCGAAGAGCAGTGCACGATACTATCCAATGTATTTTTCTAGGCAAGGAAATTCGCATTATTATATCACTATTAGTTGAAGTGGTGCAAATTAGAAGAGGAATAATAATTTTGTGGTAAATTTTATGAGAGTACATACGCGCTGGTGCCAGAGACATCCTAGCCGAAGGCGTTTGTCCAGTAATGAGCTGATATTTTTTGAATGAAGGGGCAGTAGAATGGCAGCGAAGAATTGTTGGCTTGGATTAAGTACAACTCATATTTATTAATAAATCCATGTTATGATCAATTAAGGGTTCCAAATTAAATAACCATTTTTACTCATCAATCTACTCATTAACATCACGTCCTCCCGGCACCGGTGTTGTATTTTGTGGAAATTCAACTTCATACATAATTTGCTGAATTTTGATTTTTGCATAGGCTGACTGAGCTGTTGTCATTTTGCGCAAATCATCCGCCAGAGCCATAAAGAAATGGTGGTTCGAGTCTTTGATATTCTGATTTTCTAGGTATCCCAATAATGCTGCATCAACTTTTTCTGACATCTTCATCTTTTTCGATATGGTCTCAGGCTTGATGGGGTCATCCTCATCTAAATCCGGGCCCCGGGAATGATGTCGATCACGTCCATTAGTCGTCTCATCCGGCGCCGGAGTTTTTTCCAAATTTCCGGAAGACCTACGAAGCCGACGCAATAAAAATTAGTTAATAAAATTAATAAATATATGTCAATAATAAACGTACTCACTATTGGCAATTACGAACGGCTTTAAAAAGTTCAACATTTCGAAGTATTCCCATTGTTTTTCTTTTTTGGCGGACTTGCCTGACTTGCCTCTCTTCTTTTTAACGACTTTATTGAAATTATCCCGCAGATATTTCAACTTCTTCTTGCATTCAGGAACTACAAAAACAAGCAATTCCAGAGATTAAGGTTAATTATTACGTGGCGCCACAGAGTCATACTAAACATTAATTATACACCTTACCATCCTTCCCTACCGTACTGGAAACATTTAACCACACAAGTTCATTTTTACCACTGTTCTTATTATCCTTTGATTTGACATCGAACAAAATTGGATTTGATCTCACTGTCTCTATAAGTAATTCCATATCTTCATTCCTCCAAATATTCTCTTCCTGGGCGCCCGGTATTTCGTCACCCATTACATGACATTGATCCCCATCCTCGTTGATGTTCAAACTTCCTCCATCCTCCTCACTGTCACTCGACATTTTATATTTATTTAGAATATTCTAATTTTATGAAATAATTGATGTTAGCGGAATGTGAATAATAAGAAGTGAATTTATGTGATTTTATATATTCCGCTCAAGGAAATGAGAATTTGTCATAGATTTTGGCGAGCGGACGAAAAAAAGTTGAACCAAGTTCAACTCATCGACTCACAGTTTTTTCGTCCGCGCGGATCGTATCCGCTGAGATGAGTCGGTTGGTGGAAATGGGAGGCAAAAATCCGCTCAACTCAGCTCACTCTCCGCCGCGTCGAGCGGATTTTGTCTGCTTTGGTTGAAATGCCATCGTCGGACACTTTCCGTCGTAGGTCGCGCACGACTCACGGCAGTGGAAATCCAGCTTAAATGGCGGCCACAAAAGAGAAAGTAAGGGTCAGTCGAACATAATAAATTGTGGCAGCAACAGTAACATGAAGGCAACGAGAGTGGAAAATTAAATGAAAAATACGAAATTAATTAGTTATCACCTAGCAAAACTAAATTTCGATTAACATTTGTTTGTGTGTGTATGCGAGGAGATAAAGTGAAATTTGGCATCTGTTTTTGTGCACTGCAGTTTTCTGGGTAAAAGGAATCGCAAAATATATATGTTAAAAGCGTGTGCACTAGATTTCGAAGTGTGGGGGTGAGATTTATTTGCATTATCGAATAATTTGTGTGAGTGGTACATCTACATACTTAATAACTTAAGGGATCATGAGCAAGGTACCTATGCACTACTTATACCGTACTTTTGCCATATTGTACTTAAATATGAATCAATTTTATAAATTTCGATAAAAATTTCATATAGGTTATATACATTTTGGGGAAACAGATTTCTTTCATATATTTAGTATGCAAATAAATCTACTTTAAGGTTGCTTATTGCAATTATTAAACTGCTTAATGTAGTACAGAGTCATAACAATGTGTAAGATTACCCTGTTGTTGGCTCTTCCTTTAGTTCTGCTGTAAGGCGATGTTGCAAATTAATAAGTTTGGCGTACGGATTAAGCATAAAAGCATCTGTCCTTCATGTACGCTTATGTACATAATTTTTGCATGTTCGTGTGGCACATCTTAATCATTCTCTCCTGTTAAATCTGCTTTGATGTTATGTAAATATATGCAACTTTCATTCGAACATTTAAAGCGTTATGCGTTATTTTATAATGTCAATTGATGGGTAATCATTTTATATTATTTTGCAGCAAATTATTATGAATGCAATATTACCTAATTAAAGTAATAAATTATTTCAGTGACCAGCAACTGCAGCAGCGACGTCGAGAGTGTCAACGGTGACAAGCACTGTCCATAATACCGAGTTCGTGGCTACGCGGTCTTCATCCATGCAGGATAATAATGCGAACTTAGGTATGAAACGAATTTATTGCTCTACAGCATTTATGCAATATACGAATCAGCATATAAATATGTTAGTATTTTTATATATTTTGAATATTATTTACAGCTCCTCTGAACCAAGTGGAAGAGTATCAAATGCCATTATTTCCAAGCTTGAGCAAGTACAATAGAAGACAGGCAAGAAGATGCAAGAAATACAATGGGGAAAAGAAGGAGAGACTTTTGCAAAAATTTATGACAGACAACGAGGTAAAGTGTCTTCAATAATATTCGGTAATTTTAATCAGTCAGATGATCCAGTATTTAACATTTATAGGAGCTAATCCAGAAAACTGCAACCGATGCCGTAAAGACTCTTATCCGTAGAGCGTCTTCGATGCAACAGAAGATAGATGATCCGAACTTTGTGGAAAATGGTCCCTTTGACGGGTTAATGATCCAGGCAGCCGACAACACGGTGCAAGATACTGGCAAGTTTTATTTAAAATTATGTTAAGCTTAACATATTAAGCTAGCTATATTATGTAATTAATTAAGTGTAATTGACTTGCAGGAAAGTAAATTTGGGATTGTAATAAATAGGTCCATGGTTTATTGTTATTTATTTATAAATATAAATTATTAAATTGAATTATGTAAAAGAATGAATGATATTGAAATGTGAAATTGATGTGAAAATGAATAAATGTGAAATTGAATATTGTAAAAGTATTGGTATTATAAAAGTTCACCATTATGCCTGGTAATTTCTGTAATGTGCTACAAAAGAGTCTCCTGTTCTGTATTTTGTCCGTCGAGCGATACCAACTGCATCTCCTCCTGAGTATCATAAATAAACCGTCGTAAACGCACATAAGGAAGTAGCTTCAGTCTACTTCACCCCAGTCACTCCCACGACATCGCGAAAACACTCAATTTCACGTAATTTTATCTATAAATTCAATTTATGTAAAATCTCATTTTGCCCCGACCACACCCCCTGGCGATCAGGGGGTGTGGCACATCGCGGGAACACCCAATTTGACTATATTTCATCTATAGATTCAATTTTTGTAAAAATCTCATTTTACCCCGACCACACCCACTGGCGACGAGGGGGTGTGGCACAACTCGGGAACACTTAATTTTACTCTAGTTCATCTATAGATTAAATTGCACTAAAAATCTCAATTTGCCCCGACTACACCCCCTGGCGCCAAGGGGTGTGGTCGGATTGCCCCCAAAAGTTGATAGGATCCTCCCCCTGGGGTCATATGTATGATGCCGCAAACCGATTTCGATTATCTCGACCCGTTCTCCTGTTATCCTGCTGACGGACGGACGGACGGACGGACAGACAGACAGACAGTCTCCGCATAAAGTAGCCGAAGCTACTTAATAATTCCCTCGTGATTTCATCTCCGCTGCTCCTACGTCACATTCATAGCATGAGAAACTTTGCAGATAAGTGAGATTTTAGTGTAAAATCATTAATTCGCAATCTGTCGAAACTTATTGTTAGTGTAAAAGCTTTAATTCACAAACTCCCAAAACGGGGAAATCAGTGTAAAAATCCTTAAATACTCGTACACTCGTACATACACTCGTACACTTTACGTTAAACTCCGTAATTGAGCGTACGGTTTACCGTTACCAGACTCTGAGCATGCGTGTAGATGTCAAGTTACTGTGTGTACTAAACTTTTAATATAATACATCAAATATACTTGAAACCTCAAAGGGTGCACAATTAGACACTTGCGCCCCCCCCCCTGTTACGTGACAGGGGGGAGTGGGCCACCAACTTTTTGTGACACTAACGTGACATAGGGATGTGGGTGTCCAAAAAAGCCAAAATTTACGTTATGAAATTTAGTTCAGTTTTAAACTGTAGTATGAGACTTTTTCATGCATATGCAAACCCAACAAGCATTTACTCCAATGTCGAGGCGGCATTCACTTTGTTCCAATAAACGACATCAGCAGCTGACAAAAAAAATCAAGCTATTATGTATTAATACGAGAATACTTCTTTTTCTTCTATAAATTTCAATAAAAATTGGCCAATTGCAAAACTTAATTGGTACGATCTTCTCGTCATCCCCTACAGTTCGTGAGTAGGTAAATGAGCAAAATTTAAACTAGTAATAGTATTAATAATACATACATACATAAGTTTGTAAACGTATACACTTTTCTCAAACGTACTTATTTATCAAAATCTAAGAAAAATTAAATTTGGGTACACAAATAACAGTTACAAATAATGTAATCATTTTGAAAAGTAATTTACGCACCACCTTTTAAAGTATGTAAGTATTAAATTCTACTACGAAAGAAGAGTAAAGTTTACTCTGGATTTTGCACAATTTGCTTATTATAGAATTCATTTACTTTCGTTGGGTAAGAGTAGTTTTTTTAGAGTTCATATTTGCATTTCACATTAAAAAAGTATAAAATTCTAAAGGCAGTGTTTACTTGACAAGTGTCTAAAATGTCGAAGGATGACGGATTTTCAAACTCGGGGAAAAATGGGGGACACATTTTGGAAGATTTGCTTTCCTCCACGGTTCTCCTCGCCAGGACAAATTTTGTCCCCATAAGAAACCAACTTAACAACTTTCCCGTCAAAATTGAAGAAAATATAAGTTCCCCAGAAGTAACGTCGTGCTGTTCGATCTGCTCCGAATCCACGAATCTTCTCCCTCTGGCCGTCCAAGAGATGGAAATTCTGGCCAAATTCGTCCTAAGTCAGGAGCAAATTTCCCTCATTTTACAAACGGAAGATCATCCTCCCATTTTTTGCTGTAAAATTTGCTCCTCCGCGATCTTATCGTTGGCAAAATTGTCCACGCAAATTGAAAATATTACCATTTCTTTACGTGCCGTCATCTCCAGCAGGAACGGACTGTTTAATAAGCTGCGGAATGAGGCCAAAATTATTGGTAAATATGCAATAATTAATTATCTACTATACTAACGATAAATAATCGTTAATTCACGTAGGATTCGATTACTTAAAATAAGTACATTTAAAATCATTTGGGAAAAAGATATTTTAAGATTTTGTCCTTTAAAATTGCAGAGCAGGTCGTGCGGTAGGCTAAATTTTCAAAAATATGCACTGTAAATGTCGACACTTTTTGAGCGAGGAGACCTCAAGGAAACCTTCAGAAAAATTGATATATGTCTAAACTAGGTTAAAAACCTCACCGAAATTCTACTAATCTTTTCCCAAAATGCAAATTTGTCGTCCAGAATTTTAAAATAGCTTCGCAGAAATAAGAAATGAACAGGGATGGGCAATCCCAACAATTTCGATGGATTACGGATTACAGATTAATTAATTTAAAAATTATCAGGAGATTACTGGATTGGGATTACTTTGTTCCTGAAATAATGTGGCTTACTTGTTGGATTACTGGGATAAATTAATGTCGTGGATTACGGATTACGGATTACAGTAATCAGATTACGGATTATTATCTGGATTACAAAAATCTATATTTATGTATTAAAAGGGTGAAGAGAAGCGAAATCCCTTTATGGAAAAGTGTTGTCCGCCGGTCTGTCTCCACGATAACTTTAGAACGGTTTTCAACAAGCGGTTTTCGCCAACGGGTTTCTAATTTTTGAGGTACGGATGAGTTCGAAGATGAGAATTGTAGGTCATAAGGTCACGGCGCCACGGGTAAAACGTGTCGAATTTTTTGTTTTGGCCGTTTTAGACGTAGTTTCTGGCGAAAATTACAAAAATCTAAATAGTTTTGACGTCATATGACCGAGTGACCGTGTCGACGACGCCAAGGTCGAAAATGTCGAATTTTTGTCTTGATACTTTTAGACGTCGTTTTAGGCGGGATTTCAAAACTAAAATCTAGATATAGTTTTGGCATTCCATGACCGCGTGACCGTCTCGCTCCACCCCTTTGCTACATTTCGTTCGCAACGGTTTATTCTGAATAGCGTCACACTTATATTTCATGATGATGATAAGTTCAAAAAAGAAGAGCTTTGAATGATTCATCTGACAGTCGGTTTCTTGGGGCAGACAAAACTGTGTTGTAGTAAATAAACCCCTCTTAATTGTTCCAAAATTCTCTAAAATTTGCAACTCTGCTGAAAAATCCAGAAGGTAGTTTAAGCACTCAAGTTCAGCAAGTGACTCAGACTCTGGAGAAGTTGCGAGATGGAGCTGTCATGCCGTTTACAGGAGCAAAGTAATCCGTAATCTGATTACATTTTCCAATCTCGTAAATTGGGGATTACGGATTACATGTAATTTCCAGACCTAGTTAGGATTACGGACTACGGATTACTTTAAAATGTGAATTTTTCGTGGATTACTGGATTACGGATTACATTCAATGTAATCTGATTACTTAATCTGATTAAAGTAATCCTGGGATTGCCCATCCCTGGAAATGAAATGATTAAAGCTTATTTTGACGACTTTTCTTACTTACTGTCACTGTCATTAGAATCCTCCCAACTTGACGCTCATCAAGATGTCAAATTGTCCCCTAATGACGACCACCCCCGACTAACTGGATGGATTGAAGAAGAATTTTCCGTAAAAATCGAGCCAATCGAGTACGACGAGGATGACCATGAAATCAGTCCTAATCCAGAAGAAGATTTACCATTTTCGGGGTCTAATTGTGACTTCCGAGGGTCTAAATTCGCCTGCAAAATCTGCCAACCTACACTAACTTTCAGCACAAGGTACAACTTTGAACGCCACATGAAACAGAAACACCCTAAAAGTAAGGAAAATTCGATAATTATCCGGATGAGTTTCATGTATGTATGTCAAATGCATGAATACATAGTTTACGAATTTAAATATTTGTAATTTTCTTTTAAAACTTGTGCAAATTTTACGTCAGTGTAAAAAAACGTTTCTTTTGCAGCACCCATACCCGCAATTAGGAAAAGGAAACTGTGAGTTTTAATATAACACGTGCCCTGGGGGGCCGTTCATAAATTATGTCACGGGAGTGGGAGGCAAGGGGGTCGAAGGCTTCAATGATGTCGGACCTGTGTGATATATTTTAAGGAGGGTCTAGAAAATCGCGATTTTAGCGTGACATAATTTATGGATGCCACTTCTCTTAAAAAATTATGTTGCTCATTTCAAAAGTGAATGCACTCTGGATTTTAAATGGGTCCTATTTAACTAATTATAATGTAACACTTTTAATGATCATATAATTATTCCTAATACATCTTCTCATCATGATGAAATCCAGGAAGAAACAGTCTCGTCTTGAGGGGGAAAACGCAAAGAAATCAGGTAACATTATATAACTTTACCGCCATGATAATAAGTTTGTTACCGACTGATTGTAAACGTAGCTATTTTCAATATTTAATATGTACAGGCACACTTAATTATTTATATTTTGTTTTACAGAAACCTCAACTGCACCCCCAAGGAGGAAGAGACGGTGAGTTTTAACATATCTAGAAAGAATCTGAATCCCAATTAATTCATAATTTTTCCGAATCTGAATGCCGGCCGAAAATTTACCCAATTTTGAGTAAAATTGCCACCAAGGCAACTATTGAGTAAAATTTACCCTGAGAAAGGTAAAATTTACTCAAGGTTGAAAGATTTTTACTCAACCTTGAGTAAATTAAGCCTTTGTCAGGGTAAATTTTACTCACTAGTTGCTTTGGTAACAATTTTACTCAACTTTATTTACAGTGCATAATTATCCAACGTCTCCTTAAGTAAATATATCCCTCTATTTAATTAGACACATGCCCGCCCTCGAGAAACCACACCCATGTCCAGAATGCGAGAAACGGTTCATCTCCAGACCTGGATTACGTAAGCACGTCCGTGTCGTGCACGAAGGGTTCCAATCCACGCGCAAATGTGCCTTTTGTCCCAAAGTCTTCTCAAGCATGACGGCGTGGCAAAAACACGTGCAAGAATTCCACCACGTGGTCAAGCGGAAGGCGAAACGGTTTGCTTGTGACATGTGTACGAAAATGTTCATCAATTCGTCTGGCTTGATGCGGCACGTGGAACTGATCCACTTTACGGACCGGAAGTCCTGTCCGTACGGATGTCCGACGCAATTTGGGTCCAAGGCTGAGTGGGTCACGCATTTGGAGGGGTGTCAGGATCCAAAAATGGTAAATGTTCGAAATTTTCAGAGGCTTACACACTCTAAATAAAAGTTGTGGAAAAGTTTTGCCCAAGGTTAAATAAAAAAAGAGGATGACAACAATTGGGTAAAATTTATCCAATGGTTGGACCATGTTTACGCAGCAATCTCCTTTTTTACACAATCTTGGGTAAACGTTACACAATTTTATTTAGAGTGCACTTGAATGGTAGGGTGAATGAAGATAGACGATAGGCCATTCGAGTGGTAAAAACATGCCCATAAATCGACCGAAATTTCCAAATTTTTTGTAAATGCAATTTGAACATGTGCCAACAAGATTAATACACTCTTAAAAATCTAGTACTATCTGCAACATAATACCAAGTGGTATTCATACACATTTTTATGATTCAACCAAAGTGGTATTAATAAGCAATTTGTCTAGGAATAGGATCGGTATAAAATTTTTACGGACCGATATAATTTTTATACAAATCCGTACCAAATTTAATACTGAGAAATAAGGATGGCAACGTCCACATATTACGTTATCAAAAAATGTCGACGTTTTAGGCTACCCACCCCCCATTTTCCTATCCTACTCATGTTTACCTAACACGGGTAAGGCAAAGGACCCAAAACCACCTTTTTGATGACGTAATAGACGGACGTCCTTTAGCACAGAAATATTGGGAATTTTAAAGTCTTATTACTCAGAAATATAGGCAGATCGTCTATACACGTTTTTTCCATTTACCATGATTTATAGCTACATATTTTCCATTAAAAAAATTGTGTTTTGCAGAGTGCAAAGTATGGATGCGTTTGCTTGATTTGCAAAACCACGTTCCGCAACATAATTCTCAGGATGGAACATTTTCTACGAGAACATCCCAACGACGCGCATTCTTGTCGCCTTTGCGGTGCCAAGTTTGCGCGACAAGATGCCTTCTATTTTCACCGATGTGATGAGTACGAAGGGTTTGACTGGAGTTAAACACATATTTGTGTAAAAAATAAGCTTTGTGATATATTTAATTAATTAACTATTGTAGGTAACGGGACGTTCGTAAACTTCGTAACCCAAAGGGAAGTAGGTGGGGGGTCAGGGCCCAATGATATCGTGCATATGTGTCACATGTTAAAGGGGGTGGGTGGGTGTCTAAAAAATCAAAACTTTGCGTTATGAAGTTTACGAACTAATGCTCAACACTTGTAAATTTATTCATATTTAATGTTAATGTTAATTAGCTAATTATCCAATGTAGTTAATGTGAATTCGTAAGAAATGTAAATGATCATCAAAATTAATAACCCGTCGCAAACGCGCATACGGAAGTAGATTCAGATTCACTCCACCCCTACGACAGCGGGGGAACACTTAATTTCAGTGTATTTCATCCATTTTTTTAATTTCACTGAAAATCTCATTTTGCCCCGACAACACCCGCTGGCGCCCAGGGGGTGTGGTACAACTCGGGAACACTTAATTTCACTCTATTTCAGCTATAGATTCAATTTTTGTAAAAATCTCATTTAGCCCCGACCACACCCCCTGACGCCCAGGGGGTGTGGCACATCAGGGATACACAAAATTTCACTCTAATTCATCCATAGAATTAATTGCACTAAAAATCTCATTTTGCCCCGACCACACTCCCTGGCGCCCGGGGGGTGTGGCACATCAGGGATACACAAAATTTCACTCTAGTTCATCCATAGATTCGATTGCACTAAAAATCTCATTTTGCCCCGACCACACCCCCTGGCGCCAGGGGGTGTGGTCCGGTTGCACCCAAAAGTTGGAATCGAATAGGATCCTCCCCCTGGGGTCTTATGTATGATGGCGAAAACCGATTTCGATTATCTTTATCCGTTCTCCCGTTATCCTGCTGACAGACGGACGGACAGACAGACAGACAGACAGACAAAGTCTTCACATAAAGTAGCTGAAGCTACTTAATAAATGAAACAGACCCAATGTGAATGTATGCTGGTGATGCGTTATGTAATGGGAAGGAAAGGCTCCATGAGCTGGATTGTGTATGTACATATTTTTCATGTGTGATAATAATACTGATGCTGATTGTATTTTCTGTTTGGGTTATATAGTTTGGTTACAAGGTAAAATCCGAATTTTATATATCTGAATCAGTTCCTCCTAGTTGGAGGACAGAAAAGTCTACTATTACCAATTAGTCATGATCATTAAATAATAACTGCATTCATCAGAAACGCAACCTAAGTTGATCACGTCCATGCTTACATTACCCTTTTCGAACTACGAAAAAATAGCTCCACGTGCTGTAATCATGGATTGTCACTACTTGAAATAATTAATACAATGTCATTCTTAAAATTTATTGAAACATACGTGTCCACCCAATCTAAAATTAAGACGAATAACATAAGCTTTTCATACGAATTGCACCGATTAATCGCAAGAAGGTATATCACACATTTAGCGATATGTAAATTTTTATATACTTTACCCAACGATTTGGACAATAAAATGTGCAAAAAAGATGCTATGACCTCGACGTGATTTGAACACGCAGCCTTCCGATCTGGAGTCGGACGCGCTACCATTGCGCCACGAAGTCTTGGTGGAATAACAATGGGTCCGTAGTTGGACCAGTTTCGCTGCATTTATATCTTATGTAATTCATGCAGAACTTGTATTTTTATGATTAAACTCCGTTTCCCATTGGGGGAGTTCATCACATTGAGTACATTAGCCGATTGAGCCGAATTATTTTATGATTTGACACCAATTATTTTTAGTTCGGCGTAAAAATCATACAAAATTGAAAAATTTAAACGCCAAATTATTTTATTATTTGGCACTAGTTATTTTTATTTCGGCGTAAAAATCATACAAAATTTAAAAATTTAAACGCCAAATTATTTTATTATTCGACACCAGTTATTGTTATTTCGGCGTAAAAATCATTCGAAATTGAAAAATTTAAATGCCAAAGTATTTTATTATTTGACACCAGTTATTTTTAATTTGGCGTTTAAATTTTTCAATTTCGTATGATTTTTACGCCGAAATAAAAATAGCTGGTGTCAAATAATAAAATAATTCGGATAATGTACTCAATGTGATGAAATCACCAAATATGAAACGGAGTTTATGTACATATTCATGTACAGCTACTACACTGTGAGCAATCCGGTATAGTCATGCAGGTATTGATTTCTCTATATTGAAATTGTTACCGCTTGGTATTAAAATTATACCGGTCCGTAAAAATTTGATACCAATGTTGTAAAACTTTAATACCGGGTTATTACTATATACACGGTATTATTTATCAATACCACGTTGATAGAGTTATATATGAATTATTTTATTTTTATTATTTTATTTTTATTCCAAGTATTATTTAAATACTGGATTTCTAAGAGTGTGTGCCCATTTGGAAAGGATGTATTGTTACTTTTTTGAAATATTTCGGTTGTTGAGGCGTTAATCTCGCACATTTCAGCGATTCACATTTTGCAATATTTGTTAAAAATAATGCATGCCGCTTAAAAACAAGTGACGCGAGGATGACAACAATTTGTGCGTGAAATTAAGTTTCGCATTTTGCATGCATGTTTTTGCATTATTTTTAGTATTTTATAAATATTTACATACATATTACGTTATAATAAGCCCTTAAAATACTACGGTGCCTAAAAAGATTTACAATTATGAATATAAATATGTATGCATAAATACATGAGGTCAGATGCTATTAAAATTTCATAACAATTGCATGCAAAAGTTATATCGTCGATTTAAAACCCAATTCTCTCAATGTTTAAATCACTGGTCCTAAAAACAGTTCAACTTCACGCCCTCGCCATTCCACAACTAGCCACACTTTACATATGTAAACAGCTTTTCAGAATTTGTTATAAAAAATAAAACAATGCAAAAATTACTAAAATTTGTGTTCACTTTAGAATCCACCTCTCGCCAAAAAATGGTGCGGGTCATGCCATCCCTCATTTTAATGACTCTCTTTCTCTTGCTGTTTGTCCAGTTAAGCAGCCAAGAACCAAAAGAACACGTAAAAAACGAATTTTTAGATTTTTTACAAAATTTTTAGATTATGTTTTTTAAAATTTGCAGATTTTGTTCTACAAAATTTTTAAATTTTGTTGTAAAAAAATTTAAATTTTATGTTAAAAAAAATTTTTAATTTGGATTTAATTTTTTTTATTTTGTTTAAAAAAATTTAATTTTGATTTACAAATTAGTTTTGTTTTAATTGTGTTTTAAATTTTGTTTTTAAAAAAATTTTAAATTTTGTTTAAAGAATTTTTAAAATTTTGATTTAAATTTTTTTTAAATCTTGTTTTGTAAACTTTTTGCTTATTTTTTAATTCAGTGGGGACCATGGTTTTTGGCGTATGATCGCCGATATCAAAACTGCATCCCTGGCGGAAGCCTGTGCCACATGCGGAACGAGATTTCGGTTAAGCGATGCTGCCACCACGGGGACGTCCTCTGCAGGCAAATTGACCGAAATTGCAACTCTTATCAGACCACGTGTCAAGGATACTGCATCTCCAGCCCGACATTCCGGAGATACGGATGAAATGCGAAGTTATAATTTCCAGTATTTCGAAAATTACATAATTTTGACATCTAAATTTCCTCGATTTCGAAGATTGCATAATTGGCATCAAAATTTTCACTATTGGGAAAAATACACAATTTTGTCACCATTATTTCTGCAATTGCGAAAACTACACAATTTTGTCATCTTCTTTCTTCAGAAAATTTCCACAATTGCGAAAATTAATTACTATCCACACTTTAGTCATTTTATCCAATAAATTTCGATTTTAAGGGGTTTAAAAGATAAATAAATTTTGTACGAAAGTTTCGTTATCACATTTTATCCAATATTTCTTGGTTCGTATTATTCCAAAATTTAAGAAGATCAGAGACCTAAACAAATGCTCATTATTGTTTTCAAATTCATCCAATGACGTTTAAAAACAATGTGTATCGAAATCAATGTCATGGCCACATAGGTAAATATTTATTGACCTATGTGCATACATATGTAAATACATACTTCAACACATACACAAAACGATAGGTAGGTCCATCCCATTTAACTTGTGGAACAAAAAAATCGTTTGTTAACAATGAAGACATTTATATAAATCGGTAAATAACGTGTGCGCATTTAAAAATCAACAACCAAGGCAAATACTTATTTTGACAAGGCCAAATCATTTTTTGGGGAGCATAATTTCTTGAATTTATCCCATTTGCACCACAACCTCGGTGCAGAATTCGCTTATTGGTTCGTTTGCTTATTGGAAAAATTAAGGGTACATATTTATAAATGTTTTTTGAAAGATTGATATTTCTTTAAAATTGAGGGGATTCGTAAACGTCACAATTTAAATTCGTCATCCTGATAAATTATACTAATGACCGAGCTAATTGATCGCGTGCTTTCACTCAAATTTTAGAATTATATTTTTATTCCCATACATTATAGAATTCTGAGATTATAAATAGAATGAATCCAATTTAGAAAATTTGAAATCTAACTTTTTGAAATTTTGAAATACTTTGCTCAGAATGTCATTCTGAGAATGAAGACAAACAAGATGCGAACGACAAGATTCGCTATTTTCACGGAACTGCGCAAACTTCGCAGACAAAATCTTGCACAAATATTGCACACAAAATTTCATCCTACACAAATTTCGTAAATTTACATTTTCGACAAAACTGGCATATGTAAATTCCCCCAATATTTATTCCTTACATATTTATCATTATTAATTTCTGAATTTATAGACTAAACCATGCTCTCCCCACGTGTCGCAATCCTGTTGGTCGTCGTCGTCATGGCAACGGTCATGTTTTCCGGAGAATCGGATGCCCTTCCAGATCCACATGTAAATCAAAATTCAAATATTATATGTTTTGCAATTTTTAGGAATTTAAAAAATTTTGCCATTTATTATCAAAAATAAAAAAAGATATATGTGTATTGTCGCTGTGATGTCAAATTTTTGGGAATTTATAAAAGTTTTATAAATTACATATTTAGCCGCCATTGTTTGGGCGATCGATGGCACAGCGGCGTTGGTGGTACTGGCGGCGTGGCTGCACTTCGGGCGGGTTTAATTGTCACGTGGACCGCGGTCAGACCTTGGCGCCGTGTTGCCATCCGAATGTTTGCCGTTATGATATGGACAAATGCGATTCACACAAACGAGTCTGTGTCGGCCATTGCATAAACGTTTGGGGATGAAAATAAAATAATGCAAAGATTTCGGGACAAAATAAAATTTTTACAAAACATAAGCTTCTTTTTTCCGCATAAATTAATCGCATCATCTGTAAACTTTTGACTGATTTTTTTTTACATATTTATTAAAAACTAAAAACGGAGGTCTCTCAGCGTGTGGATTCCGATTTTTTGCCAAATTAGGGTCAAATTAACAGTCAATCGATCGCAAATTTAGTTAATATGAAATTTGCAAAAGGCACGAGCTCCTAATGCTGGGCAAGTTAGGCAGAGATATTTGCATCCGACTTGTAGAAAAGGCGCCATGACGTCGACAAATTTTTATAAACTTGCTGCGGGTTTTTCTCCTCTTTGTATGCAAACGTACCCAAGGGAGATGTGGTCTGTTGGAAATTTGATATTAAATTTCTGATGACACTAAATAATTCAAAATCTGTGAGCATATCGTAAATATTGCAAATGCAATTTTTTTAGAAATAAATTTGCAATATGACAAATTAATTAGTGACATTGAACCACTTAACCCTTTCTATCCTTTATATACTTGCTTGCATAAGTACTTATTTATTTACGTAAATATGTAATACGTAATGGGTTTATTCGCATAAATTTGGGGCAATTATATAACCATTCAAGTCAGACATAACATGGAACAGATAAGCAATAATCAATTAATTTGATTGTCTCCTGATTACGTTGACAATCCCAGCGTGACCATCGGAATGCAACATTGTGCAAATAAAGAACCTACCTCAATTCCTATTCAGGTCGATATATTGTGTTTATCAACCAGTATTCATTTCACGGCATAAAATCATATTCTTCCAGTATTATACGAAATTTTGGCAGGTTTTAGCCGAATTTGCAAATTCATACGTAAGATGGTTGATCAGGCTGAAAATAATTTGGTGGCGATAAGCTTAGAAAATGAGAAGGAAACCGAATGTCTAAAAACCGTTCGCGATATGATGGCAGGTATGCAAAACTTAAGAAATATAAATACAAAGGTTCTAAAATATGTACACTCTAAATAAACTTAAGTACAATTTACTCAAGGTTGAGTAAAAAAGAAGATGGCACAACCAAAAAGTGAAATTTGTCCAACCGTTGTGCAAAATGTGCCAAAATTTATTTAAAATATGTCCAAGAGGTGAGTAAATTTTGCACAACGTTGGCTAATTTTTACCTTTTGCTTGTGTCATCCTCTTTTTTTACTCAACCTTGAGTAAATTTTACTCATTTTTATTCAGAGAGTGTAAATATTTTTTGTAATAATTATGTTAATAAAATATTTATGTTAACGAATTTAACAGAAAACGAGAAATTAAAGCCAATGCTAAAATTTTGGCCAGACAAATTACTCCTTCTTCTAATCCGTACATTCGATTTTAACACTCCCAACATCTTAAGAGTGGTAAGTTTAAGTAAGTATTTAAACAACTGTTCGTTAAAAGAAGTGGTAAAAAATCTGACAGGTTATCTGATAAAATCTACAAAAAAGTGATTTAGACAATTTTAAAAACTTTTGTCGTTTTTTATTTTATGCAAAAAGTATTTTTTGCATAATTTTTGTTACCATATGAATTCTTTATGAATAAGTTTCACGAATCACGAACACTGTCTTTTTTGTCCTGATTGCATACATTTATTCCCATCCCACAGGTTAATTCGTTGCAAAATTGCATAACGGAATTGTACCCGGACTTATTCCGACTTATAAATCTGTCCGAATTGAAACCGATTTTGGACAAGAAACTCTTCACCCTGGTCAAGCACGCCAGTCCGAGGAATCCTGGCGTCGTGATGTTTCAATTTAGTAAGAAATTGTTTAAAAATTCACATTTACATATTCATTTATAACTTTTATTAATAATTTATTTAACAGAATGATAAATTATTCATTGATTACTTATCTGATATATTCATGATTCATTAATTATTAACTAAATTCATGAGTAATTAGTGAATGTTTTTGCAATTTTTTGAATTAATGAATTTTGAATTAATATTTATTCATTTCATATTGATTCATGAAAAATTCATGACTAATGTTATTCATGCTTAGTACATAGGGTACATTGAGAAATTCAATTTGAAAGGCGGTGTAGGGATAAAATGAGTCATAAATGAATAATGGATCAGTGTTAATTTTTCAAATTTAGAATAAATAAATTATGAAGGATTATTTTTTTCCAAATTTTACATTGAATTAATTCTGAACGAAGAAATATTTTTTGAACAGGTATGACGTATTCGGAACGAATGAATAATCAATGAATAATTTTTTAATTGAATGAATTTTTAATGAAAACCTATTTTTGAACAGGCATGGCGAATCACACTTATTTATATATTTGTATTTTTTTTAATGTCCAGAAAATTGGAAGCCTTCCGAAGTCCCGACAGACCAGTTGCTCGCGGCCGGAACCGTATACTACTACCAACTTGCCCGAAATTGTGAAGACATCCAGAAAAACGGGATTCTCGCCTTGATCGACTCGGACGGAATCGGATTTGCGCACGCCCGCCAAATTTCGTACGATCTGATTAAAAAGCTTCTTTACTGCATGGTATACTCGTCCCCAGTTCGAGTCGTTGGTTACGTTGTGTACAATAGTTCCTACCTCGTGGAAAAGATTTACCACGTGGTCAAATTTGCGATACCGGAGAGGGCAAGGAAAGATGTGAGGATATATATATTTTTTTCCATAATTTGTCAAAATATTGGGGGTATTCAAGTCAATTTCGTAAAAACAGAAACATATGTATCTTACCAAACTTTGTCATTTTGCGATTCTAAAACTAATTCGAATCTTTATTTTTTAACGCAATATGTATTTGTATGCGACACAAAAATGCATAGACTTATTATCTTCGTAAGCTACTTTTAGCAAACGCGTGAATTCTCAATGTAAATTTCAGCATTTGTATACAAAAAAAATATATAAGTCGTTCACGGTACCGATTTCACAAACACGGCAAAGCTACCAAAATGCAGGGCCACTGCGTGTAGGTGCCCCAAAGGGGCCTGGCCAGCGTTATAGTTCATGAGAATTTTGTCAACAAACATCTTTTTTTACAAATTCTAATGCAAATTTTATGTAACGAAATTCATACTCCTATGTATTAATCTACAGTTCGACAAAATGTATTGCGAAGCAAATAACGCGAAAACCCCCATTGTTACCTCGAAAAATGTAGGCGTTTTGTAAAATAATTTTACAAACTTTAATGTATGTACAAAGTTAAAAATAGCAAGTTTACAAAAACTTGTTAATTTTAATTTTCTTTCCGAATATTTGTACAACTTTGTAAACGTTGGCAGAGTGTGACCAAGGGCCTGCGTAAATTTCATCATTATTATTAAGTTTCCCACTACTTTTGTAGATTTATTTCCTCAAAAAAGACTTAACCGTTCTGCACGGGATGGTCCCTGACGCCCAATTTTTGCCAACTTCCATCGGCGGAGAGGTCCCTGACGACGCGGCGTATCAGGAAGACGCCGAGACAGCAGCGTTCGATGACCTCACGATCCAAAACCTTGTAACGGACCTACAGAGAGAGTGCAGATTGGGGAAGAAATGATGTAACGAGGCGAAATTCTACTTTAATTGATAAATCAGTTGTAAAATTATTAAATACAGAAAAAATTAAAAAATGTAAATTAAAAAATGATGACCCCCGAGCTTCCCAAAAAAATATATCCTTGGCAAAAAAAAACCTGCCGCCTGTCACCATCGGCACTAGCGTATTTACTCATTTTTTACTAAATGTAATCAATCAGTCCTTGTATGTACGTATTTTTTGATGAATCAATTTCACATGTATGGAAATATGTAGTACATATTTATGTAACTCTTATCTTTGTCAAACAACTAATTCGCAAATACCAATATATTAGTCAGGCGTTTGTATTTACTCACCTGTCCTGAGTTATCATTTGACAGATCAATTAATTCAATGTCAATCAATTGGAATAATTATACAGCCACTACACATATGTGATGTAACTCCTCAAGTCCTGATATTTATTTAGGTTCAAAAATTTAGATGCGTACGTGAGGTTTGAATATGTAGATAAGAACCAGGCCAACTTAATTCATGAATTGCAAACTTATTAAGACTGTATTGTAAAATTTGGGTAGCGAATGTGTGGGGAAAATTTTCAAAAGAAATTAAAAGTTAACAATTATAAAATAATTAATTTACTATCGGGCGAAACTTGTACATACCAAACGCCCTGAAATAATCCAAACTAACTAAGAACTAATTCCTGGCAAGCAACCTTGAACGATTAACATGTTTAGAGAAAGTGGTAATCACTAATCTTGTCTCAAATTAATTAAACTGTCATGTCAAGTGAATGTAGTACAAGTATCGCCTTATCGCAAGAAATTCAGTGAAAATTCTATCCGAGCAATGTGAATAACGCAATAGATAAGATTAAAGGACAGAAATAAAATGCGACCGATTTTGTGAAAGGGTCACCAGTCAATTACTCTACGTAAGCCTTGTCACAATGTTACTGCGACTATTTTCATTCGCCACCTGCTTCCACCTTGCACTTGGCTTCGTGCAAGAAATTACATTTTACATGGAACCTGACTTCGGAGGAAATGGGTTCCTATTTCGAACTAAAGAACCTGCCCTTGCTCCGTGCCACTCGATCCAATTAAGCGACGTGAAATCATATTGCTATAAAGGATGGTAAGGATTACTCATTAAACTTCAAACTTATTTTTGTTTATTTCTAGCGTCGTTAAGTAATTCTTTTTATTCTAAGGTGAGGTAAAAAACTATAGTTACAGTTACACCTTAGTATGCATTCCGACAGGTCTCGAAAACTTTGACCGCGCCCTACAGCCAAGGGGGTGCGTTTTAGAGAAAAAAATAGAGACCGAAAAATCAATTACGGACCCAATCTAGTGCTATCTTTAGGGATTTTTCGATATGTCCTCCCAGAAAAAAGTTTTGATGGTGGTGAATGGTTGCGCTTCGCAATTTAAGTATGAAGGAGACTACCTACATAGCTGTGTATCTAAATTTATGAAAGATCGCCCCCACTTTACTATAAGGGGAAACAAGAATTTGGTCGATTGGTTGAGAAACCAGCGACTTTTCCTTATGACGAAAATTTCCGAGTGGTTGCTATATATTAACTATATACCCTCGCTATAATAGGAATAATTTATAGTCTTACAAGGGACACTCACGACCTGTCGTTTGAGTCCAGGGTACCCACCATGCTTTTTAGAATCTACTAGGACCCCAGATGAAGGATTCATTCATATTTCCGTGTAAAACTCATATTTGGCGCCGTGCCGTGGCGCTAAATTCGCCAAATTTCAATGTTTTTATTTTTGAAACCGCCATAACTTTTGAAATCCTGGGCGGATTTTCAAAATTTTTTGCAAAAATCATGACAAGGAGTTCAACTTTCGTATCCCATGAAATTTTTTCCAAAATTTTCGCTTTTAAATTTTCTTAGAAATGAGGGTTCGTCGGAAAAATGCTAAAAATATTTCAAAAATTAGAAATTTTTTATTTTTATTTTTTTCTCATAAATTTGGACTTTTGTGATCATTTTAAGCATAAAATTTTGAAAATCCGACATAATCTGCAAAAGTTATGGAAGTTTGAAATTGGTCGAAAATGCAAATTTTTAAGTTTGGCGCCACGGCACGGCGCCAAATATGAGTTTTACACGGAAATATGAATGAATCCTTCATCTGGGGTCCTAGTAGATTCTAAAAAGCATGGTGGGTACCCTGGACTCAAACGACAGGTCGTGAGTATCCCTTGTTAGCCCGTGCCCGGGCTTATGGGACCGTCATCTCTGTCCGTGAATACGATAGCCTTGCAATTTTGCCATATGCATATTGGGCAAAGTTAGGAACAATTGTTCGAAAGTGGACGAAATCGGTCAAATGGTTGACCCGTTGGGGTACCAGATTTCAAAATTGTCATAGAAAGCTGAAATTTTGCATACAGATTGTTAGTGGCTCCTAATAGAAGAATATGAAATCAGATTGGAAAAATTCTTATCTGGAGGGACCCAATGGGGTCACTCATACTGATTTCTCAAAATCATCAAATCGAGTTGTAATTTAGTACAGCGGTTTCTAGTCGCACCTTATGGCAGAATATGAACTGGGATTGGGAAAATTTAGTGGTTATGAATATCAAAATATATCTTTCAACTGACACTTTTAAAACATATGCTGTAAATTTGAACGAATTAAATTAGCTACGATATCCGCAAGACTAACGGTGTAAATGTTGCTTTATAGCGTACAATAGTGGTTATATTATATATTTGCTTTTAAAATTCAAACCTAAAAAAGAATTAAATAAAATATAGCTTGAAAAAGTAAAAAGTTCTAAGGTGAGGAGTGCCCTTAAAAGTACTAAACAAGCTCCCTCCGCCACCCAAATAATTTTACTTCGCCTGGGCTGTCTATTCTATGCAAAATATCGATAATAATACTTCGGCGTTACATAAGAAAATAAAGATCAGATTTAATTTCTTAGTCCAAGGTTAACTTTTGAATTGGTTAATATCTAGAACATTGCTAGGAGGTAAGGGTATTAGCAATTATGATCATTTGGTTGTAATTATTACATATGGTCCGTCCCCAAATATTTATTAATTACTTGTATAACTAGCTCGACATCGTGCTCGTTGTACATTCATGTCAGAATATATGGACGGATAAACCGATATATTTTAAACCTATAGTATACAATACAACCATTGTTTTAGATTTCTTAGGTGACTCTTTGAGCGACTTATTTACAACGTATTTTTATTTGCAATAGATATTTTGCATGGAATAGACAGCCCAGGCGAAGTAAAATTATTTGGGTGGAGGAGGGAGCTTGTTTAGTACTTTTAAGGGCACTCCTCACCTTAGAACTTTTTACTTTTTCAAGCTATATTTTATAGTATTGTAACAGTAAAATAATATCATCTAATTTTCCTGATTTGTGATAAAATATTAGTTGCATATATGAATGTTCAGGAGTTCAGCGTTACGAAAATATATCTCATGGTTTAATAGGTGGAACGGATTTAATCAAACAAATTACGCTAATGAATGGACTTTAAGTGTAGCATCATGGGATGGGACAGTGATTTGCAGAAATGGAACACCCCTTCCAACAATGTCGTTGAGGCATCAAGGACCCTTGGAGACAACAATACCTTCCGTTTCAATTTATAGCGGGACTCGTACTACTGGTGTGGGTGGAATGGAAAGAACTTTTACTGCCTTAGCCGCGACCAATTTTGGATTTCTTCCTACGTACATACATGGCCCTATCGGGAAGGTCGAGCTGGACTGGTTTTGTCAACGACGATTTTACGGGAAACTCTACCTGCTTCTCAACTTCTGCACTATTAGCACAAGTAAATTTGTCCGGAAAGGAGATAAGGTCCTTAGTCAAAGGATGTGACGCCAAGTATGAGAGCGAGTACTATGAAGCTGATAAGCATTTGTGAATATTTTTTTTTGAAGCAGTAACACTCGCTTGTTTTTGGCTATATATTTTAGGGAACAAATGTTTTAATAAAAATCATGTGAACCAGTGACAAACATTTGTTTCAATCTATGTACGTTAATGTTTACATATTTGAGAAAAATAATACTTTAATAAAATTTGGTTGTTGATCAGAAATGTTGGGAATCAATATGCACATTCAAGGGCCGAGACAGCAGTGTTGGACGACCTCATAATCCAAAACCTTGTGGCAGACCTGCAGAGAGAGTGCAGATTGGGGAATAAATGATGTAAAGGTAACGACGAGATTCCGTTTAATTTCATATCAATATGTATAAATTAGTTGCAAAAGTAGTAAAATAAATTCCGAAAATGATGACCCACGAGCTCTCCAAAAATATTTCTTTGGCAATATAATGTGCTGCTCGCATACTCATTTTTTACACAATGAAATAAATTCGTCGGTGAATTTAGTAAATTCACCGACGGATTTATTGAGATAACATGTTCTTTTGAAATCGAATTAAAACATGAAAATTTACAACGTATTGAAAAATTTTCACGTGGCTAAAAAAAATTATTTACAAACTCCGCTCATGGCGAAAAAATTTATGCCAATGGCGGAAATAAACATCTAACCTTCTCATTGTGAGAAGAACGTACAATAATTGCGAGGTACAGCTTCATCTCGCAATTTTGCAAAGGGAAAAGCCCCTAAATTTCTATGGATTAGGTATGAGGCAATAATATTTTTGTTGATATTGAACTTTAGGTAATATCGAAACTGATGTAAAAATATTAAATTTCTCAAATTGTTGAATTTCAGAGGCAATTTGTTGACAAGTATCGATTTTTTTCCCATTAGAAAGATTCATGTTAAAAGTTCATTCACGAATGTTTCATTTTAGCGAGACATTTTTTAACCACCCTGTACATTGTGTAAATATGTGTAATTACCCAAAAAATTTCACCTTTGTCAATTTTCGTCATCGTGGCTGATGCAGCTTTTAAAGTGCTAGTTTGAGGGGAGGACATTGGTGGGGTAAAATTCTTAACAGGATTATCCGCCACGTGTTGGCCGGTATTTTGAGGTTGTTGCACTATCTTAGATTCTACGTCTCTCTTCACCTTCTCAAATTTCCCCTGGCGATTTCGAAACCATTTTGTAACCTGTTAATTACAACTTTTAATTTACGTCTCTTCACTCAAAAAAATTCCAAACCATCAATAACCTGTGAATCACAATAATTTAGTCAAAAAAAGTATGAATATTTATATTAGGGGTACTCAATACCTGTGCAACCTGCTCAAATAAAAAAGTAATCGCATTAGCATACATACGTATGTATTTACTGCTCTGACTGACTTGTAGGAATTTGCGATTTTAATTAATTATTATCAACATTGACGACAAAATTTTTAAATGTTGAATTTCAAAGACGGAAACTCTAGGAATTTTTCCCATTGGAGCGTAGAATTTTTAATCACCTTGCAAATACATACCTGTGCAACCGAAATTCGTCCTATTCGTTTCGCCAAGTGGTCCACCTTAATGACAGAGAGGCCCTTTTGGCCTCCGAAGCGTTTCTCCAATTCATAAAGTAGACTTGCAGTAAAACCCTCCAGGTTATTCGCACGTTTTTCAAATTCTGCGTAAAAAAACTAAAAATAATTAGCGGAAATGTAAATATCTACTCAGGACGGATTTTTCACCTGAAACGACAGGTTCTTCACGTATTAAATTACTCCTTCACAGCATTCTTAGAAATCCAGTATTAAATTGATACCAAGCGGTCTTCAAATGGAAGTCGGACAGTTTGGCGAAAAATTCCGTTTAGCGAAAAGAAATTTCACCCATTCCAAGGCATTTTTAACACAAGGTTTTTGAAGTACCATTTGGCGAACAAAATGTCACATTTGGCGAAAATGACGATCATATGATATGCTGAATAAAGAATCCGATTCTAACTTTGCGCAAAAATGGTAAAATTGGAGGGATGGATACGTATGTAAGTACATAACAAATTTATTTGTAAATTCAAAAATTATTAATTTCTAAATGCAAAATAAATTTGTAATTCATCCATCTTCATTTGTAATTCATTTGTAATTTGTAATTCATCCATCAAACGGCATTTACAAAGTTGACGTGAATATCTACACGACGAGTTATTTCAATACTAGATCCCTTATAGTAGGGTTGCCGCGGGTAACGGGTCGGGTACCCGTTACCCGCATACCCGCACGATTCTTGCGGGTACCCGTTATCTGCGGGTAGCGAGAACTACCCGCACGGGTATCGGGTAGTTCAGTTTTTATTTAATTTCCGACATAAATCAGTTCACAAAGAAAGTTAGCAGCAAGTTAGTGCATTTACCAACAAAAGCTTCAATTTAATATTTATCACTTCAAAATTTGCCATAAACTAGCGCTTATAGCGAGCGTGTCTTTTTCGAAACCACAGAAGCCTACGGCAGCCTCAAATGCTTTTCACGTTCCGAAAATGCGGATAAATTATTGTTTCTCAGTAATTCTCAGGTATATGTAATTTACCTGCTGTAAAATATCAGTTGTCATAATAATTTGACTTGTGTTTGTGTGTATGTATTTTGTAAGACCAACGAGATTTTAATTTATGCTTTGAAGATGAAAATTCTTAATCAGATTGAAAGCAAAAATTTTATTGCTAGCAATTTTTTTAATGAAAACTTCATTGAAGTCAAAATTTCAAAAAATCAAACTAAACATCGACCTTTTTTCAAGGTACACCAAGATTCTCTAGCGAGTATTTATATCAGAAAGTCCAGCAAAAAATTAGGAATCGCGTGATACTTTCCGTTGAGTGCCCACTTTGAAGAAAAATATTGGCTGCAAAATTCAATTTTTAAGTAAATGTTCTGCTTCCTTTTCCTCCACTTAACGAAAACTAAGGCTAACTTTGAACTCTGCCACCCAATAGTTTTCTTTAAACGGGATATTCAACGGGAAGATAAGTGATAATTTCTAATTTTTGGCTTGATTTTTTGATATAATTTTGATATAAGAAATTCAGGTGTAGCTTGAAAAAGGTTCCATTGTAAGCCAAAAAGTTTGGTTTTAGAAACATCTAATGACATCTAGCAAATTATCGCATTCATTACTTGCACAGCATTATCTCAAACTACTGAACAACCCAAATGAGGAAATAATTGATTAAATCAGAGATATTCTGAAGGTTGGTTAGTTTTTAACTTAATTCTTATAACGGGTAGCGGGTAACGGGTACCCGCACGGGTACCCGTGCGGGTACGGGTAGTTGGGCAGCGGGTAACGGGTCGGGTAACGGGTGGCATTTTCGCTACCCGCGGCAACCCTAGCTTATAGTATAATTTTTTCACTTTCACCATTAAATTATGTATGTAATTAAGTTAATAATAATTAAATTAAAACTTTCCAAGTAAGCACTTCATTTTTAATCCGCTCCAAGCAAGCGTAATACGCGTAGGATCCCAGGAATAAAATAACGTTCAAAATCATCCACAATTGATAAGCGCAAAGGGTCACAAACTCGTACGTCGCCAGTTCTGCGGGGCTCCATGTCGAGTCGATTTTATGAGATGTGTAGGCTCTTAGATAAGCTATCACGTTCGAGAGACTGACAATGAGGAGAACACCGTTAACGTAAGTGCACAACAGAAGCCCTACTTTACCCTTGCGCTTATCAGGCTGCATTTTGTAAGCCTGGCAAGCTTTAAGTTTCCAGAAGAGTTTTTCTGAAAATGTTTAACCTGGGTGAAGATGAGTGAAGATCAAAAAAGAGAAAGTCAGCTGGAGCATAGCATTTAGAGTACACTCTAAAAAAATGGTACTCATTTGAAAAGTAGATGCATTCTGAATTCTATATTAAGTTATTCCAAATTCATATTTAGTAACGTTAATTTGATAAAGAGTAACGTTTAGGCTGGATTTTGTATTGTTACCAGTTCACGTTCATTTTACTGGTCATGATCATGACAAGTCATGCATGATAGTAAATAATAATGAATGTGAATGAATTTCCTCTCTTTTAAATAAAAATCACTGAAGGATTCCCTCATTTCCGATGAATGACTGTGAGTGTAAGGATTTCTCTCATTTCATTTTTCACTCTATGCTTAATACATGGGTGCGAAGTGTATAAGAAATGAAGTCAGGTGAAGTGAAATGAAATAAAATGTCAAATGTGAATGGAAATCTTCCGTCAGAAATCCAGCTGACTGACGTTTGAACGAATTAAAAATTTGAGCAAGTATAGTATATTTGCAATCTCGAGTTTATTTAGTCTTGAAAAGGGTAACATTCTTTTTAAGAGTGTACATATGCGAAGGGTGAATTTCCTTTGTTATATAGGTATTGAAAGACATGTGCAGTTCATACCCACTTCTGGTTCCCTTTTTCCATGGTGGAAGTGGGCATTGAAATAATGTGAAGCATTTGGGAAAACTTTTATACACGGAGAGATCCATTTGACTCAAATTGAGCTCCAATTTCTGAAAAAAAACGATGTATTGGTTTCTCACTCATAAGCTGTAAAACTGTATTTATTTACCGTGAGAAATAATATGGGTGCGATTATCGTGTAGCGTATAGGTATTTTGTATGTATTTACACTCTTAATAATCCGGTAAAGTCACTCAGGTAATGGTTTCTCGGTAATAAATTTGGCAATAATATTTTACCAGGTAGTAAAAAAATTCGTTACCATGATGGTAAAACTTTATTACCAAGCGATTATCTATATACCACACGGTACAACATGTCATTACCAGTTTGGTAGAGTCATATAATTGTGCTTTTCGGTAATGTTTATTACCAGATTATTTACAGTGTAGGACTGCCAATGAGTTCGAGTCAACTCATTTGACTCATTGGGTTACTGAATTGAGTTGAGTTCGAGTCCACCGTATAACTCGACTCACTTTGGAATGAGTGAGCTGAAAAATAATGAGTTTGAGTTGAGTTACGGAAGTTGAGTTCGAGTTGACCCATGAGTCAACTGATTAAGGATTTTTTTACTGCCAGTTTGTCCATTTCTAGATTTTCACCTTGATGAAAGCAAGCTGCTAAATCTCTAGTCAGCGATTTGTGATAAAATTATTCACATTTTTCGATTTTTCACATTTGCAACCTCGTGAATCACTTTCTCTCCGAATATTTCAAGATTGGATTTGCTGGGCCGGTTGAAATAAAAAAAATAAAAAAAGTGCAATAGTCTAAAAGTTTTAAATCCAAAATTACACTATTAACCTCTTTCAACTTTATTTATCTCGCTTAAAATTTCCGTTGAATACGATATTGAATTCATAACTACATCTTGTAGCAACCAATTGAATTTCCTGGATTTTGTGTAAAAACCCAATATTTATTTAAACCAGTTTCCAAGTTTTTGGCGATAATCATGTACTTTCCACTTTTTAACATTGGTCGGTATAGGGAAAATTCCAGAATTTGTGAAGAAAAATATCCAAAAAAGTTAACTTTTTACCATCGTAATCATACACCGATTTGTTGATTAGCTTATCGAAATTAACACAATATTTTTATATTTGTAGATTTTAATCTTCTGTAGGAAATTATGAAAATTGTAATTGGTGACTGGAAGTTGGTACCAGATTACATATTTTTTTCAATTCAATCCCCAATAACATTTTCCAATCATGTTTAAATTTCACTGTAATAAAAAAAACTCGTAAAATTTTCACAACTTTTTCTCAAAGTTTCACCTAATGAAGGAAAAAGTATTTTCCGAGAGCTTGATGAGTGATTTTGTGTAAATAATAAATTCGGGAACTATGTAAATGTTAATATTTGTAACAATATATTGTTATTTATAAACGATAATGTGCATATATTTATTTACAGTTTGGCCATATTACATACATATATTTGATGAATCATGATGAATGCAGTATTAATTATACATTTTATGAACACTTCGATACTTAGGAGCACATTGTATGTAAAAGGAGGGGGTCAAGATTCTTCCGCCACGTGATACCAACGTTGTGCAACAAGTCATAAAAGTACATAGTTGAATTACAAATACAACTACATACGTTCATTTCATGTAGTTAAATTCTAACTAATAGTTAGAATAGAGAGTAGTTAGACTTTAGGATATTATATCCTAAAGTCTAACTACTAACTACTTTTAACCATGTTGATTCAATTACCCTTTACCCTGTCTCCTTAACATAACAACCGATTTTTACTATATATTTATTCAAGCTAAATAATAATAATAATAATAATACTTTATTCACTGCATGTTTGGTAGAAATACATTTCAAAAGAGATCATTCATACCCTGAAGGTTAGGAAATACATGAATGTCTTAGGAGAGGTACTTCACTAGTTGCCACCCACAGACCTCGATGCCCTTTGGCTATGTTGGAGCATCCAATGAGTGAACAACAACCCCCATGTGTTTTGATGCCATGGCCACATTTGCGCCCGCCACACCCACTTAAAGGCGTCAAAAACACGAAAAAATCCCTGTTTTCACTCAATTAAACCCTCGTCAAAAATCCGATTTCTATAGGATTTTGAAAATATTGCACCATTATACTCCAAGATAGTTGTATTATCATATCCAATATCAAACTCAACTTTTTTTAAATTTTAATTTTTTCGAAGACGTACCCCTGCAGGGGTACGTCTTCGAAAAAATTTCCTGACCAGGGCCCTGGTCAGGAAATTTTCGAAAATATTAAAAAAAAATGCATTTTGGTGTCGAATATTATTAAGCAACTCTCTGGGAGTATACTGGTGCAAAATTTTCAAATTTCGATCAAATTTGGATTTTTGGCGAGCGTTTTAAGATGGTGATTTTAGAGTTTTGGGCGCCTTTAAGTGGGTGTGACGGGCGCAAATGTGGCCATGGCATCAAAACACATGGGGGTTGTTGTTCACTCATTGGATGCTCCAACATAGCTAAAGGGCATTGAAATCTGTAGGTGGCAACTAGTGAAGTGTTCCTCCTTAGCTGTAGTCATTAAATCATATCAAAAAATCAATTATATAAAAAAAATCAGAAACAAATTTGCAAAGATAATTTATGTGAAACTTTTGGTCAGTAATATATGGTTTTTTAGTTTGGTTTTGAATTTTTTGATAAGGTTGTTCAGCCTTAAGACTTTCTGGTAAGTCTCTCCATAAACGTCAATTTGGCCAAATTGTATACAGAACAAGCCAATCAGTACACATTTACATCATACATGTTCATATTCATTCATTTAATGATGAATCAATAAATTGTTCATTCAATATTCAAAATTTTGAATGAATATTTAATGAATATTTTATTCTGATTTTTGAATAAATGAATATTGAGTGAATACCTATTCAATTCGTGTGAATAAATAATGAATGAATATTTTTTTCATCATTCATTTTTAAATTAATGCTTATAACATATGTAGGAAAAGTTGAGAAATTTATCTAATACTGTGAATTTTGAATAACATGAATAATGAAGGAATGGTGAATATTGAATAAATGTTGAATTATTAATGAATATTCTTTTTTACAAAGTATGAATGAGTGAATAAAGTATGAATATTTTGTTCAAGGTTTTCAATGAATGAACTTTGAATGAATAAATAATTTTTGAACATGTATGATTTACATACGTCAAAAATTCGCTGCCAACTATTTAATTCCAGCTCCACCGGAATTAACGAGACACCAGCTTTCATCAGATCCTCCATCGGTCAAATTTTCACGCAAATCCTCCTCAGCAACGTTACAATTTTCCTGCTGTTCTTGTTCCTGCCCAGTGGTTACAGGTTGGGTCTGACTAGATTGTGTAGTTGCAAGAGCAGGATTACTTCCTCGAGTTGACAGATTTGCACTCGAGGGATTTTCATTTAGAGTTTTCCGCACCCTGGATTCGGTCATGGTTTCGATTCGTTCGATTGCTAATTCCTCATTGTTACATTTTTGCGGATTCGAAGTATCAGGTTGGGTCTGACTAGATTGTGCAAGTTCAAGAACAGGATTACTTCGTCGGGTTGCCAGACTTGCATTCGGGAGATCTTCATTTCGAGTTTTCTGCACCCTGGATCCGTTTTTGATTGCTAATTGCTCCTTGTTACTTTTTCGCGGATTCGAAGCATCAGGCAGGTTGTGTTTTCTGGTAGTTTGCTTTTTAAGGATCTCGAGTCGCTTGGCTAAAATTAGTTCGAGCAGGGACCACGGCCTGGTCACAGGGGTTGATTTTTTTTCTCGACTACGACGCTTCACGACGTCCTCTTTAGGGTCTTTGGGCCCTTGCTTATCAAAGACGCGGGGGAGTTGGCGACGATTTTCAAACCACGCGGAGACCTTGAAAAAAAATATGTTGAGGTTATCAATTTGGGACAAAAGTGCGACAAAAAGGAAGTTTTCATTTAACCACTTACGGTCGAGGTACTAAACTTAGCGCCATATTTTGCATACATTGCTTATGTAAAAATTATACAGATTTTAATGCCTCGACCATAATAATGGAGCTCTCCAATTTTGAGTGGGAACAGAGCAGAGTATAATCGACGCAGTTTAACTTTACCCAAAATTTGATTCTCGCGTTCGTATCCCTACCATATCATTAGTGTGGGAAGCATAGTGTCCAACGACAAATGTCCACGTGGTCATTTTTGTGTCAACTGTGGACAGATGGACAATACTTTTTGGGTGGTATTTACGTTGGATACCCGAAGTTTTGAGTGGACAGTTGGACATTGAAATTGGAATCAATGAGGCGACAGCCCGGGATTGGAAAAGATAAACTGCGTTGATACTAACAAATGCAAATTAATGCAAATGAGAAATGAGTTATTATAACGATTCAAATATTCAAGGAAGTCCTTTGGTACCTGAGTTAAAGTCGCATCGAGACTAAAACTAATACAGAAGGAAATATGTATTTATGCAGTGAAAATATGTGTGTGTCTACATACCTCTTCATCTTTCCTAAATTTAATCCAACTGAACTTACCAATATGCGACTTTATATTGTTATTTTTTTTCTGCGGCATGTAGTGATAAAGTACTGAACAACTAATTTCATTTCTGGCATAAAGTCACCAAATACTTTGACCTATGTATGTTCCGACCAGAAATTAATTTTACTTATTTTTACAATTTTACAATTATCAGTATTATGCAACCATTCATGATGTGCAAAGGCTGTTGGCTATCTTCTATATTAAGTGAAAGTAATTTTCCTTGACGGAAGTGAAAGTGGAGAAAATTAAGTTTCGAATGTCGCGAAAATTCAAAATAAATTCAAAATTCAAAAATTAAAAGTCAGTCATTTGCGTTTCTTACAGACATTTGCATCTTATAATTGTCCCTCGCCCGGAGGAAGACGGGCTTATACGCTAGTAATGAAATAAATCAATTATTACATACCTCTTCATTTGTAAGTCCAAGTTCCTCCAATTCGTCCTTCTCCTCCATATACCCTGACAATATCCTCATCTCAGTTGCATTAGTTGGACTGATTTGGACGCGTAAAGGATCGACCATTGTTGCTGTTGAATTTAAAAAAATGCAAATCAGCCGGCAATCATGTTTTGAAGAAATTTCCATACCTTCGTCAGTCTTATTTGTCTGGGGCGGAGAGGTCTCTGGATTTATCGGGGTCTTCATGTGCCCGCCTTGTGTGGTTAAAGTTTCTGAAGATTCAGTGATTTTTTGCGGCCCTACGTCAAGTTTGCTCGCTGTCGTGGCTTTAATTTCTTGTGAACGGCGTTTAAAGAACCGTTTTACGACCTGGAATTTTTGTAAGGCAATTTTAATCAATGTTTATTTGCAAGTCGACCCTACGCAATTAAGTAAATGAGGTGAAATTAACCCTTTAAACTGTAACAATTATCATTTTATAAGAAATGGTTTAATTCGGGAGGAAGACAAAAGTCGTCCAGAAAAATCGTGGTCATGGCGCGGAAGGAAGGTAGTGGTCGTTTCTAGAAGGTCATTGATTTCCACCATTTTCTCTCCGCGACCTGAAATTTGTTGCAATTTTTAGGGATTTCTCTTATGCTAACACAATGCTAAATTTGAAGATTTTCTTCCCGAAAATTTGGATATTTCCCTATACAACGCAACGTTAAATTTTTGATTTTTCAGTTTTTCGGGTTTTATTAAAACTCCTGAATTTCTCCTCCCGCGCCATGACCACAAGATACTTATAGCGTCCCCGATTTAATGCATTTTCTTGTTGTTAATCACACACGTTAAAGGGTTAAGGGGAAAGGAGCTAAACTGCATACCCTGAGGTACATAAATACCACCGAGCTGGATATTTAGGTAGAGGGATTCACTTGTAAAGAGTAAGTTAGCGAAAAGCCAGAGAAGAGTTTGAGTTACAGAATTTAACTTCGCCAACCCCACAAATTTTTAAAGAATAAATGAAAAGTCAGGAGCAAAGTTGAGTCGGATATTAGTTTCTCCCAATAATCCGACCTGTTTGAATTGGATATAGTTTTTAAGCCAAATACGAATCTGGTCGGATCGGATATTATTAAAAATCCGAAAAACGGATCCGATCGGATTTATGAAAACACATATCCGGCTCAACTGCAGTTAAGTGTACGCATGCGTATTCATTATTTTTTCATATCGCAAAATAATTTAGGACGAAAACCAAAGGAGAAAGCTTCGTAAAAATTGTAACTCTTACAAAATCTTAAAGAAAAAATGAAAATATCCTCAATGAAATTTAGGAAAATACACATGCTCATAAATATGTACCTGTGAAGGTGTAACTCGTAATTGTTTCGCTATGTCGTCAAAATCATTCATGGTTGGATGACTATTCGACTGGAAATATTTTTCCAGTTTTTCACATTTATCAGGAGAGGGCACTTCATGATTTTTCGCGTTCTTGATTCCTTGGTGAATTCTACCTAAATGTAGAATGAAAAATAGTGGAAATACAAAATTAATATAAAGGGTGGTATAAATTTTTCGCTACAATGGAAAATTTTGCAAAGGGAAAATCTCATAAATATCTTTGTATTACATAGTTATGAGGAATTGGAATTAATATTTTTGGTTTTACGTAATATCAAAACCGACTTCGAAATATTCTCAGAATTTTTTTAAAATGTTGAATTTCGGAGCCAAAATTTTGATAAGTAACGAATTTTTCCCATCAGAAAATGTTCCATTGTCCCACCCTGTACCTACATACATTATGTAAATATTTGTAATTTCAAATATGTTTTACCTTTCCTAATTTTCGGCCTTTTTCGTATTTTTGGCTCGGCTTTTAAAGTGCTAGTTTGAGCGGAGGACGATGATGAGGTAGAATTCTTAATGGTATTATCCCCTCCGTCCGTTTGAGGTTGTTGTACTTTCTGAGATTCTGCGTCCCTCTTCACCTCCTCAAATTTTCTTGGGTGATTTTGTAACGATTTTGTAACCTGTGAATTAATAAACCGTTACAACGCAGGTAACCAAGGGGTGAAAGAGTGTCCATCTTCGAACTCGTCCTGTCCCTTGACGTTAGGAGTTTATGTACGTTCAAAATTTCAAGTCTCTATGTCTTTCCGTTCAAAAGTTATCTGACCAACGGACAGACAGACGGACGGACATAGCGATCTTGTAAAGGGCTTTCACCCTTTAATAATTCACAATTAAAGGTTATGATTCAGAATCATAACTTTTAATTCATGTGTCTTCACTCAAAAAAATTCGAAACCACCTGTGAATTACAATAATTTAGTAAAAATATGAATATTTATATTAGGAGTACTCAATATCTATGCAGCCTGCACAGATAACGAAGTAATCGCAAAAGGATACATACATATGCACAGGTCCGACTGACTTTTAGGAATTTGAGAATTTAATTAATTATCTTCAAAACTCTTAAACTGATAAAATTCTTTAATGTTGAATTCCAACGACAAAATTTCGGTAACTACTGAAATTTTACGATTTTTTCCCATCAATTCAAAAATTTCCTATTGTACCGTAACATTTTAACCACCCTGTAAATACATACATGTGCAGCGGAAATTCGTCCTATTCGTTTCGCCAAGTAGTCAATCTCCGGGTCAGTGAGGCCCTTCTGCTCACCGAAGCGTGTCTCCAATTCACAAATTTGACTTTCAGTAAAACCCTCTTCGTTACGCCCGTTCGTTTCGTTTCGTTCGTTTCGTTTTTCAAAATCTGGGAAAAAATTATAATAATTAGTGGAAATGCATGACGGGTTTATCACCTGAAACAAATTCCTCGTGTTAAATTACTAAAAATGCGATGGTGTGAAGTGTAAATCTCCGATTTGGTTGAAATTTCGAAATTATGTGGTCCATGTCAATACAACCAACGTTTCTTCAGGCACTTTGTGCGATGGTCGGAATTTGGCAAAATATTTGCGGGAAAAGTTGAAAAACGGGCGGTTTTTAGCACGGGAAGATAATTCGTTTTGTTACCAACTTGCTAAGAGTGTAAGGACATTTTTATGTTGCTAAGGAATTTGTTGAAGTTTCTAAGGAAATTTTTTAACGTTGCTAAGGATTTATTTTAAGGTGGCCAAGAAATTAATTTTATATTGCTAAGGAATTTTTTTGACGTTGCTAAGGAAATTTTAAAATCATAATCTAAATCATAATCAAAATCATAGCAATAATCATAATTCCTATCTGTTACCTAATTGGTGGAGCAGGAATGCCAATCAGAATACAGGAATATCACGGAAAATTTGACGGGACGGACTTTTCGAAATTATAATATAGATTAATGTTCTTCTGTCAAAACAAATTATCAGGTTCGGCTTTCCGCACGCTATGGTGTAAACACGAAGTCGAAAAGTCAAATATTAAATATTTATAGCTCAATACATTAACTACCACTGAAAACGACTGCCGAAATGTATTGCTTATTCTGGAATTGTGAGTTCCAGGTTGAACTTGAATATCAGCCCGCCTGCAATGTTAATAAAATGGGCAGATGACTTAAGCGCACAAAAATCCTGGAACGCTAAATCCTACAACGGAGTGCGACAACATTTTATAAATTGTCTCTCTTTGATTTCAGTCATGTCGCAGGAGTCAAGGTTTATGTGCGAAATAAGTACTGTGAGCACATCAGTAACGAAACGACATGGTAAAAGATTAGTCTGTGAGGGATCACCATTTCCCCACTACTATCTTGATTGCTAAGTCACGCACGTGTCGGTGAATAAATAATTAATACACACGTGTGTCAGGCCCTTATATTAATTAACTTACAATGCGATTTTGCGAAGTGTAACCCTCCCATTTGGTTGAAATTTCGAAATTTCGAAATGGTCCATGTCAATACAACCAACGATTCTTCAGGCAGTTTGTGCGATGGTCAGAATTTGTCAAAATATTTGAGGTCCAAGTTGAAAAACGTGCGATTTTTAGCACGGGAAGAGAATGGAAGTTGAGTTTGCTTCCTCCGCCTGGTAAAAATCGCCCGTTTTTGAACTTTGACCTCAAATATTTTGACAAACTCTGACCATCGCACAAACTGCCTGAAGAATCGTTGGTTGTATTGACATGGACCATATAATTTCGAAATTTCAACCAAATCGGAGGGTTACAGTTCACACCATCGGATTGTAAGTCACTGGAATTACTTGAAAAGGTGAAACAAATGGGTGTTTTTTTTCAAATGAATTGCAAAATTTTTTTTACTCTCGTTTATGTTAAACTTCTTGGCACTAAAAAATCCGTCCGGAGTAGAAGGCTTTAGTCACAAAAATTTCTCACCACCCTTGCAAAACTTTCAGGGTATTCATGTCACTCAAAAAACGTCGCATCGCAACCCATCTTCTCAACTTTGCGATGTTTGCGAAATCAGTGTCCTGCGTGAGCTACCAATTTCAAAGAAAAATACATACATGTAATTGTATGTAAATGAGACAAGACAAAAATCACATGACTTTGCCCCGCTTCAAAAGGGCTTACGACGTATTAAGGAGATGTCATTTTACTTCGTATAATTCGTAATAAAATAAAGACTAACTCTGCGCAAACATTGCAAAATTGGAGGGAATGATACATATGTTGGGAAACGACGTTTACGAAGTTTGACGTGAATACCCCTAAACACTCGCATTTCGCAACGGTTTATTTTAATACTGGAGTTCTAAGAGTATAATTTATCGACTTTCTCCGCCATAATTAAACTAAAATTTTAAAACTAAGTACTGCCTCACATTCATTTTTGATCCGCTCCAAGCAAGCGTAATACGCGTAGAATGCCAGGAATAATATAACGTTCAAAATCATCCACAATTGATAAGCGCACAGGGTCACAAACTCGTACGTCGCCAATTCTGCGGGGCTCCATGTTGAGTCGATTGTATGAGATGTGTAAACTCTTAGATAAGCTATCACGTTCGAGAGACTGATAATGAGGAGAAGACCGTTAAAGTAAGGGCCCGACAGCAGTCCAACTTTACCCTTGGGCTTATCAGGCTCCATTTTGTCGACCTGATAAGCTTAACCTTCCTTAACGAGATAAGCTTCCTGAAACGTTTTTCTTAAAAAGGTTAAAAATTTAAGAAACCTGTTTGAATGCGAGTGAGGATCCATAAAGAGAAAGTCAGCTGGAGCATATATAGAATTTAGGGTACACTCTAAAAACATAATGGTAATCTTTGAAAAGTAAATGCGCTCTGAATTCTGTATTAAGCAAGTTATTCCAAATCCAGAGTAACGTTAACTTGATCAAGAGTAACGTTTAGGTTGGATTTTATAAAGTGTATACCAGTTCACATTCATTCATTTGACTGCTTATCATAGTAAATTATAATGAATGAGAATGAATGTCCTGTCATTCAATGAAAATTACTAAAGATTCCGTCAGTTCAGATGAATTAGTGTATGTGTTAGGATTTATCTTTCATTTCATTTTTCACCCTATGCTTAATTCATGCATGGGCGAAGTGTATAAGAAATGAAGTCAGATGAAGTGAAATGAACTGAAATGACTTTGAAATAAAATGACTAAATGTGAATGGATATCTTCCATCAGAAATCGGGATGACTGACTTTTGAACGAAAAAAAATTGTGTATGGTATAGTAGCTTTATTTAGAATTTTAAGTTTATTTACGTATGTTTGAAGATGGTAAGATTATTTTTTAGGGTGTATTTATGCGTAGGGTGAATTTCCTTCGTTACGTAGGTAGTGAAAGACATGTGCAGTTGATACCTACTTCTGGTTCTCTTTTTCCAGGGTAAAAGTGCGCCCATGTTCAGTACATGCATACATTGAAATATTTGTAATGTGAAACATTTGGGAAAACTTTTATATGCAGAGAGATACATTTGACTCATATTGAGCTCCAATTTCTGGAAAAAAACGATGTATTGGTTTCTCACTCATAGCTGGAAAACTGTATTTACATAATTACTCCGAGAAATAGTATGGGTGCGATTATCGTGTACATTGATGAAAAGAGACGATATGAAAAATGGTTGCTTATACCATGTCGTGTGCGGTTAAATTTCATAATCCCTTTTCCATAACTGTAATATAGCATAATTCTTATCACATAAACGTGACATGATATAATCAACCACTTTGCATAATTAATTCTCCCATAAATTCTAAAATAGCAAGCAGATCATTATTTTTGGTACATACATACATACATATGTGCTTTGTACATTTTTTGCATGTTTAATGAACACGGACGTTATCATTGAATTGGTAAATATTCTAAAATTTGAAGGTGTAGTACAGAGATAAATAAAAGGAAATGAACGAACACTTGTTTGCAAGGAAATATGCTAATTCTGATATAAAAAATTAGCTTTATGCATAGTTACTGATTAGGATAAACGTAACAATAATTTTGTACATATGCAAAATGCATTATGCAAATTGACGTAACCATCCCATGCATGTGTATGTATGTAAATATGTTTCAAAAATGAGCGTAGTTAAGTATGCACGCTATCCATCAATATGTAATATGCCTATCAGTTCAAATACTCGCATAAGAATATTTGTACAACAAAATTAAGTATGTTGTAATACCCAATACCGATAGATTAGTCAGGCGTGTTCATTTACTTAAATACTTGTCCTCAGTTATTATGTGACAGATCAATTAATAAAATGTCCATCAATTTGTATGAATTTCGCAATCACTACTTTTGTGAGGTAATTCCTGGAATCCTGATGGGTGGAAAGAGTCGTGTACGTGTGGTTTGAATATTAGCCACGCGCTATTACTTGTCCCCGTCTAATGCACAAATTAACGGTGTATACAACATAGTCAGTATATACACTCAACACTCTACAACACGGGAGAGTACACCGTTAATTTGTGTATGAGCCGGGGACAAGTAATAGCGCGCGGATAATAGATACATACATATGTAAGCATTAGATATATGTACGCACAGGGTGCCCAATATATTTTTATAATGGCAAATATATGTACAATTGTAAGTGTATAATTTAGCCACAGTTCCGAAATTTGTTCGGAAGTGAAAGTTTGTTCACTTGCTTACACTACTTCATATTTAAGTTCGCGAATATTGTGCTCAATTTGGCATAGTCGACAAACCTTTATATTTTCGGTTTCCATCTCTGTGGGTTACTTCTGTGGGTTTGGACTCTTGATTACTAGACGAATTCCCTTTTACACAAATCGCTCAACCCCAGTTGATTATTGAAATTTAAAAATATAGCTAATTTGCTAGCTAATTTGGTACAATGTTTTAAATTAATTTAGCAAGCATCGAGCATAAATTTCATCCGACACCCTTTAATATGTAATCAGAGATAAGTATCAACCTCTCCCCGGTACATAACCAAGCTTCAAAATTGAACATGCTCAGCAAATCCCTTATCTTGTCACAAATTAATTAAACTGACATTTCAAATGTATTACAAGAATTCATTTATCTCCTTAAATTCAGTGAAAACTGCAAAAATTCTTTGCGAACACTTATCTAGAATGACGTAACAGATGAAATTAAAGTATAAGTATAAAACGCAATCGAGTTTGGAAAAGGATCACTAGTCAATTTTTCTGGAACATCTTTGTCGCCATGCTGCTTCGACTATTTTCCTTCGCCACTTCCATTTTTTTGGCACTGGGCTTTGTGCAAGAAATAACATTCTACACGGAACCCAACGCTGGAGGAGATGGGTTCCTATTCCGGAGTAAACAGCCCGATCTTTCGCCACATTATTCGTCACAACTAAGGATGGTCCGATCATACTGCTACACTGGATGGTAAAGATTACTTAATTAACTTGAAGTTCATGTATTTATTTCCGCTTATGTTAATTCCATGGATATTATTACACAATTTTATACCATCAACTTTTCTTGACTTGTAATAAAAATTACTTCTGCAAGAGTTAAGTGATGCAAGATATTATTCATGATTTTACAGGTGGATAGGATTCAATGAGACAAATTACTCTAACCAGAATACACTCAATCAGGATTCTGCTAATGGGACAGTGGTTTGCAGGAATGCAACATTTCCTCTAACAATGTCTTTGAGGTATCAAGGACCCTTGGACACAACCACACCTTCTGTTTCAATTTACAGTGGAACTATTTCCAACTATGCGGGTGGAATCGAACGCACATTTACTGCCTTAGCTGCCACCAACTTTGGATTTGTTCCTAAGTACATGGTTCTAACTGGAAGGTCGAGTTGGACTGGTTTTTTTAATGACGATTTTACTGGAAACTCAACCTGCTTCTCTACCTCAGAACTAGTAGCACAAGTGTATTTAACAGAAATCACCGTTAGGTCGTTAGTTAAAGGATGTGACGCCAAATACGAGAGCGAGTATTATGACGTCGATAAAATTTTGTGAACAATAAGAAACGATTGTTTAAATCTATGTGCATACGTATGTTCATGTTGTATATGTGAAGCGTGTTGATTTAATTCGACGCCACTGATTTTAGGATTAATGAAATTCGAATCTAACTTCATCGATATATTACAAATCGATAGGGTTGCCGCGGGTAGCGAAAATGCTACCCGTTACCCGACCCGCTACTCGCAGCATCACTACCCGCACCCGCACGGGTTCCCGTTACGCACGACCCGTTATGAGAATTAAGTTAAAAACTGATCAACCTTCGGAATAACTTTGATTTAATCAATTATTTGCTCATTTGGGTTAATTAATATGTATGTAGTTTGAGATAATGCTATGCAAGTAACGCATGCCCTAATTTGCTATGTACATACTGAGGGTGGGGCGTCCCGCTGATAACGATTTTGACCATTAATATCTATGGTGCTATTATAAATTTTGAATTGAAATTTTTATAATTTGTTCACCTTATAGTCAGCATTATGGGTGTAAAATTTCAATTCGCTAGTGTAAACGGCACCAGAGATATATGCATACGAAAAAATTGTTCTGTTCCAAAGCGATTCCAAAATTGAATTTTTTTAAGTTTCAGAATATTTTTAAAACACTCTAGAATTGTGAATTGTTCATAGAATTTAATGTGGGTGTTATGAAAATTTTTGGCATCTAGGTATGTGGCTTTCATAAACAACTCCAAACCTCCTAAAAGTTTGTTAACTTATTCCATACCAGGTGGATTTGCACAAAAAAAGCGTGAGTAACGTATTTTTGTGTGCTAAATGGAATTTTACAAATCTCAATAGTTGAAATTTTTTCATATTTATTAATTTAGGAGTTAGAGGAGACGTTACTGATGGTAATAGAGACAGATTTTGGAGTACACATATTTAATTTCGTGTTATGGAGTGAGTTGAGAGAAATTAGCGACATTTTGACAGTTTGGGGGCTGTTATAACTTTTACTCTGAAACTCTACACAGTTATATTTCAATCAAAATTTAAACTGCAATGTGTACTACAGACATAGGGTCACAGAATTTGCTATTTCCTGACATTTTTAGGTTATCAATAACTGCCCCATGTGCTTCCATATGGTAATTTATGTCTGGAACACAAAAAATCATCACTGTTGTACTGTAGGTTGAGTTGAAGGTCTGGTTCTTACAGAGAACTGAGATTTTGCACCTATAATGCCAACTCTAGTGTCTATCAATTCGCGAAGTTTCAAATTGAAATTACTACAAGTGCCAAAGATATTAAAGGTCAAAATCGTTATCAGCGAGCTGCCCTCCCTTTGGTAGATGTCATAAGTTGTTTCTGAAACCAAACTTTTTGTCTTACAATGGAAAGTTTTTCAAGCTACATCGGGAGTTCGTAGCGAATTATATTAATAAATCAAGCCAAAAATTAGGAATTACATGACACTTATCTTATCGTTGAACGACACTTTCGAAGAAAACTATTGGGGGACCAGAGTTCAAAGTCCAGCATGGTTTTCATTCAGTGGAGGGAAAGCATGGAGAAAATGTACTTAAAATTGAACTTTTCCAATATTTCTCTTCAAAGTGGCAAGTCAACAGAAAGATAAGTATCACGTTTTGATTTCAATGAGGTTTTCATACGAAAATCGTCTACAAATAGAATTGTTGCTTTCAACCAGGTTGATATTTTTCACCCGCACAATTTAAAATATCGTCAGTTTTGCATAAATACACACAAATACAAGTCAAATTAGTACCTATACACATATATTTTAGTGTAGACGAATTACGAAAAACAATAATTTCTCCGCATTTTCTGGACGTAAGTGTGTGTGGCTACCGTAGGCTTTTTAGGGTTCCGAAAATACACGCTCACTATACACGTTTGTTGCTGGCAAATGGCAAATTTTGAAGTGGATGAATAATAAAATTATGCTTCCGTAAATGTAAGGGCTGATGAGCTTCTACAAAACTTTGTTTGTGAGCCAATTTATGGCCAAAATTAAATAAAAACTGAGCAACCCGTACCCGTGCGGGTAGGTCCAGCTACCCGCAGATAACGGGTACCCGCAAAAATCGTGCGGGTATGCGGGTAACGGGTACCCCACCAGTTACCCTACAGGACGAATAAAATTTGAAATTTATTTGACGAAGCTCATATTTTAAGACAACCTGGTTTGCAATTAGAAATGTTGGTAATTAGTAAAACATATTCTTTCAATTGTTTTCAGAATCAATTCCATAAATATCTAACTTGCATTTATTAAAAACGTAATTCGCAAATACATTCTAACAAATTTTTCAGATAACTAACTTGTATTTAGTTATCATTTGGTAGATCAATTAATGAAATGTCAATCAATTAAAGAAATTACGCAGCCACCAGGTAATTATATACTTGCTCGAAGTGGGTGCAAAAGTCAGATCATGATTTTTGGTACATATGTACGTATGTTTTACAATTTTAAAATGTTGAAGGAACCCGGACGTTATCACTTAATTAGTAATTAGTAAATATTCTAAAATTTGAAGGTCTAACACAGAGATACATAAGTCAGTAAAAGGAGATGAACGGGCACTTGTTTGCAAAAAATCAAATTCTGGTATGTATGCAAGATTACTCGGTATGAAAAGTGACTGTTTAGGATAAATTCAACCGGTGGTACATAATTTTGTATGCATTATGCAAATTGACGTAACCTTCCATATGTTTCATAAAGGACCGTACTTATGTAAGTATATACGCCATCCATAAAATATATCCGGTACATATTCCTATCACTTGAAATGCTAGCAAGAATATCTGTACAACAAAAATATGCAGGTATACCTACATATTACCACATATATGTTGTAATTCGACCGACAGATTAGTAAGGCGTTTTTAATTAATTTACTTGTCCTGAATTATCATGTGACAGATCAATTAATAAAATTGCATTAATTAATTACGATTGCATTAATTACACAACTACTACAAATGTGAGGTAATTCCTTAAATCCTGACGAGTGGAAAGATTTGTGTACGTATGGTTTGAATAGATAAGCAGCAGTTATATAATATATAACTGCATATATTATATAATATATTTTTATAAACTGGCAAATATATGTACAATTATACAAGTTAGCCACAGTTCCAAGGTTCAATTGGTCAATCTAACTAATTGGACCGTTCAGTAATGTTGTGGTAATGAAAAATTTCCCACTCAGGAACAATTTACTACCAATCCGGTAGGAACTTAATACCAATCAATACCAGCACGGGGTATCTATGTGACTCTACCAGAGTTTTAAAGACTAGGTTTATGTACAAAATAACGAGCATTACCTTTATTAATGTAATTAAAAATTTTCCACTCAGAAACAAACTACTACCAATCCGATGAGAAAATATTACAATTTAAATATCAGCAAGGTGTTTATATGTATGGCCGCCAGAGCCATGCCGACATCTGGGAATATTAACATTGTAGGCTATCGGAAGAATCCGTTTATAAGTATTTATTTATAACATGAGAAGATGATCGGCCATTCGGACATCGAATAGACATTAGCCATTGGTCCCCGTGCATGCTTCCTCGAGCACTGTGTAGGTACGTGTAACTCCACAAGAGCTTTAACAGTATAGTTAAATGCATATGATAGATCATAAACAGTTCGTTGTGCGGTTGGGAGCAATGAGAAAGTAAAGTATTTCGTTGGTGGAATCTACATCAATATGCAACATAACCTTATCTTCAGATTTACGCAAAACTGGCACCACTAGTAATATTATTACTACGAGATGACAAACATGCCGGACCGGTGTATACTTATATTTACATACACACCCCACGGTGAGCGACATCGCTGGATTTTTTGCAGTGTAGATTTTTACTAATATGTATACACACATATGTACGTATGTAAATATGTAGATAAGTATGTCTAACTATTGCGGTGATTTTTTACACTTTTTAGCATACTGAACTAACCTGTGACCATCAGCATATTGGTATATAAATGTGCATGGACGAAAAAAACATAACTCAATGGGAAAAAGCATCGGTGTAGTTTATTTAATGTATAAATTCTTTAATTCAATTTGTAATACATATGTACATACATAGATGACATACATAGATACATGATTCCAACCCTCTAAACATTTGTATGTCTGTATGTACTTACATATTTATTTGCCACGATATATGGAACTTCATAAAACGTGAGCAAAAGTGAGGAGCAAGTTTGTAATGATTTATGGCAAAGCCAATCTCGCATAATTGTCACGTTGACCCTGACTTGCTCACCTCAATAGTTTACTGATTATCCATCCCAAAGTAAATATTCATTGTATGCACATTAAATCTTAATAAGCTTTTTTTTACTGAATAATCAATCACGTTCTCCACTAAAAACTGGATTCATAATGCAATAAATATTTGATGGCCAAGGTTGAACTTAATGAAGTCTGTACATTTAAATAATTATTGGATAAATAGTTTTATGATAATGAATAATTCTTCAGTCGTGGCTGAGTGTTTGCAGTGTGTGCATTGTTGTTTCTTTGGTTAAATAAAATTTGAAGTCTTGGAAAGAGGAAGACTATTTATTACTTTTTTGACATCTTTTTCAATAAGGCGACGCATCAAACCTTTAGCAAACACGGTATTTAAACTTTTCATGTCTTTGCATGGAGATAAGTACTTAAAATAAATACAGTTTTGTGACAAATTAGCGTCTACATGTTTACCTTGCTCCTGAAAGATGCAAATATTTGTCTCATACTTCTCATCAAGCTATATATGTAAAAAGAATAAGCATTTTGCACGGGATGTAGGAAAATTACTTGAAATGGTTAAAAAATTTATTTTATACTGTATTAAATTCGCTAAACTTTTAGTAAATTTTATCCATTTTCAAGTAAATTTTGCACAAAAAGTTGTCTTCTTGAAAACACAACTTTGAGTAATTTTTTTTGCTCGAGATTTTTTCTCGTGCAAATTTTAAATTACCTGCACTAGTTACCTACGTTGTTTAAATAATTGCAATACAGTTAATTCTAGTAATTATCCGTGAAACGACGCTGATATCTTGCGTTTCTACCACCCTATAACGTCTGCAAAACGAACAATTTCTTGCAGAAATTTCTCCAACCGATTTTTTTTGCACGACAGAAACTTAATTTTCCAGAAAAAAACTCCTCGTTTCTCTTACTTTCACTTTACATATTTCTTGTCTTTCAGATGTCTCACAACCGAAAGTATGACCGAGAAGAGGTAGAAACCGCCATGAAAAAAATGCCGACTTTTGCCGATAACAAAATCGACTTCGCCGATTTGGCCGGCTTCCTGGACAGCATTGGCTATACGTACACCGCTGAGCAGATGGTCGCATATGAAAAATTTCTTAATGAAGTTCACAACGGGAAGTTGGATCTCGACATCGCCATAAATTCCTTGGGGGTCGTGGATGATACGAAGGAACTCATGCGCACGCATATCGAAGCTCTTGACCTCAACAAAGACGGGGTCATTGATGAAGTCGATTTTAAAGCGATTGTCGAACTTATGTTAGCGCATGATCCCGCCTTTCCAAAAGTAGACTATGAAAAGTTTGTGGAGGAAGCGGACACCGCGAAGGATGGAAAAGTCAGCATTGACGAGGCTGTGGAGTGGTTCAGCAAAAATGCGAAACATTAATCAACATTAGGGCTGGTATAGCACTTTCTTAAAAATAATGTTATTCTGTTGAAAAGTAAGCACACTATCAATCCAGTATTACATACGTAAACCATATGTACTAAATCTAGAGCCCTCCTTGCCAAACGATACTCTTGATTTACTATGTACAGATGTAATTTATGTGCTTGACATACAATTCAGAGTACACTTACTTTTAAAAATTATTTTAAAATGTGTGTTCTTTATTTTCCAAAATATACTTATTTGTGTAACGTGTGAGATATTTTGTCTCAATTTTGGGATTTGATAAACAAATCTAAAGCTAAGTATTCTTAAAATTCGATACATATGTTTCGCATGAATTTGAGGAAATAAATGTATTGAAACTCTTGAAAGTCCTCATAGTGTTGTATTTAATAATTTGGTGCTTTAACAGTAAAATACTCACAATAAATGTAATATCAATGAATGTACATATATATAAAAGGATTGATAATATTTACTTGTCAACTTTAGTACTCGAAAGCCCATTCGTCAGCCCAGTATTGACTTCTGATCCTTTCACAATAAGCTTTCAAATTTGATGCTTTTTCTGAAAAAAATAAAATTCAAAAATTACGTAAATTAAGTGGACGAAGTATCTTTAAGTCTCTTGCCGGTTTTTGCTAAACTTTTTTACGTGGAAACCCGTCCTGATTACTATTTAAGCCTTAAATACCTACCATTTATAAAGTTAGAATATGGCGAATCCGGCAGACCCCACACGGCTTGGGCAATTTGACCAAATATAGCACAATCCTCTTCACAGGGTTCATTCCCCAAAATGTATTTTTTTTCTCCCAGAATATCCGACACGGTTTGCAAATCTCCCAAAAACATTGCATCCCTTTCTTCCCTCGAGTGACGCCCGATTCCATGCGCATTAACTTCATTGCTTAAAATCCGTTTCCAATACAATCGCACAAGTCGTAACGGAATTGGCCAGGTGAATGAACCAACTCTTCCAAAATCTTTGGCAAACTGGGTCCAACCATCGGGACGAATGAAGCGCCATAGTGGCATGGCCCTGCATATATACATATTTTTATAATATAAATTAAATTAATTAATTAATTAAATATAAATTAATATAAATTAATTAATTATTTAATGTAAATTTAAGGCTTAGATACAGATCCGGTCTAATTTTTTTTATCCGGCCATTTACCACATGTATCATGGGTCGGATCGGATCGGATCGAATGTTATATTAACTAGTCGAATTATCCGGTCGGATCGGATGTTATGGATACTAAAAGGTTGAATAATCCGATTGGATAAGATCCATTTTATAATTAGGTAAACCTTTTTCTTAGATAAAACGTCAATGATAACTTGTTAATCGGCGTATTTTTGATAAGATCACGTGTCGTAAATGGTAAAACAATCACTTATTATTATCTATCTCGTCATAAAAAGTATGTTTGTATCTCTTCTCTTGACTCAACCAACTCTTGAGATTATTCCGAGGAGGCAAAGTCAGATTAGATATTGTGCCAAGGCGTATCGTATATGCGGTCAGTTCTGGGAGTTCAATCCACTTAGGCTGCCAACTAAAGTGAGACTGAAGACGGTTAGGATTCAAACGTAGGCAAAAGTGGTGTAAAAAGTGGTCGAGATATTATCCGGTCGAATAAACATAATTTTTTGAAAATTTCAAAATTTTGGCCGCTATTCACATACCAGTACCACCGTTCTTCCAGCATGACCCGAACCGCCCGTGCCGTGGAAAGTTCTTCTTTTGTATAATTATTGGGGAAATTCACGTCAAATTTTCTGAAATTTTAAAAATAAATATCAAAATTTTTTCATAACTGTAGTCATTGAATTTCGAACTTTTTCAGAAACTGTAAAATCAAGTGAGAGTCTGATACATGTGCCCCATTTATTGAGATCCATGGCGTCTTGGATTTCACTCCGAAGGGATGATTTGTGTCTTTCTATTAAACGAAATCCACATTTTTAGGAAATTTGTGAATATGCAAATACATATTTATTCATGCAGAAATTACCTGATACTTTATTTTCCCCATGCGACAAAACAGCTCAATTTTAAGATCCCAAGGAATACAAGTCCCCAGAGGGAGCGACGTCATGGGAAAACAGTGAAGAATTACCAAATCTTTGGGCGTCTTCGCGTACAAATCTCTGCAACATTTCATACGTAAACAGATATTCTGTGTAATTATTCACGTCAACTTTGCAAAATCTCGTTTCATAACACACCATCGAAACTTTGCAATGTTTGCGAAATCAGTTGTATTTATTACAGAAATGAAAATTATGAAACTGAAAATGGGATGAAAAGTGAAAATTCGCTATACTTTTTTTTACGAAAAATCGTTTACGACGGTAATAAATGCATAGATTTATTTTTGTGTCGCATTTTTCTTAAAAAACTGAAGAATTTTGAATGAAAATTTTTGATTCGTTACAGCATCGCAAATCTACGAAACATTGCGAAGTTACGAAAATAAGCGAGGTTTACGGCTTTTAACAATTTGACGTGAATACCACTATCATTTTATTTTATTTTATTGCTTCTACAGAGCGTGTTTCAAGATACAAAACTCACTTTATTTTTTGATATAACAATTGTTAGAGAGACCTGGGATTATTGAAATTTGCATGTGTCGTACCCAGATAGTCAAGGAACATTTTTCAAAATACCTCTTAGTTCTGTGCAGCAACATGCCCCCACTAACCCCCACGGAGTGCGAGGTAGCCGGAAAAGAGTTTTCCAAAGATGAATTGTATCATAAAAAATTGTTAAGAAACTGGCGACAACTGAATTCAATGTCAGTCGAAGCCATATTTTCAGTGTATTAAATAACACTAGCATAAAGAGGCAGGGATCATTGGCTGGAGTTCCACATCCATTAAAGTGGAGTCCAAGATCAGCCAGGATCGAGGATGAGTTGTACTATATTGCAAATTTTATCAATAAGGAAAATCCGTCATCAAAGAAAAGTATGCAAAATGTTGGGGGTGTGTCAGGCAATAGTTTTTATGGTCAATCACTCTGACCTAAATAGACTAACGCGGAGGAGGACCCAGTGTACGCCCCCAAACCGTCTTACATTAAGTTTTTCGAAGTAACTTCGCGATAACTGTATAAAAAATTATTTTCCAGAAATAAATTGTAAACTGCAATTACTCTTGATGAGTCGCCTGACATTATTCAGATTAATTATTTTGGATTTGAGTAGTTGAACCAGAGATTTTCAAGTTGACGGCTCGGGCGCTAAATGGGTTTTGGAAAACATTTCACGGGCGGGTGCAACAAAATCACTTCAAAAAAGTGTCATACTTGGTAATGACATGGAAAAAGGGATTGCACCTCGATAGACAAACCAATGGGCTACACATTAAAGGAATTGACAAAATTCACAAACGAAAAATAAAGCTGTAGAAAAATAAACAAAAGTGAGTTTTGTATCTTGAAACACGCTCTGTATTATTTCTTGTTATTTATAATTTTTTTAAATTTAAATTGCATTACAGTAATTTATTTCTTATAGATACGTATCATTTTAAAATTTATGAAATGTTTTAATTTTTTGTAACTACTTACTGAATTCGTTTTTCCTCTCGTTTCTTGTAAATTTGAGACCCATATCGGATTCCTACCCATGATACGAATAATGGAATAATACAGTAATATAATATCGCGGAAATCATGGCACTCTGTAAATTTTGATTTATTTTATCACATCAATTTCCTCTTCAAATTTCTTTTTCTTTTACATTACAATATTTAAAGATAATAAACGTTGAAATTGCTAAAATGCTTAAACGCAAGCACACAGTGTCAATATTTAGTGAGATGAAAAATAAGAATGATCAACTCCCCTTAACAAAACTCTTCAAATGGTCATGTTGCACAATAAAGTTGTAGATATTTGTCCTCATTTTTTGTTTCTCTTTCCTTGATTCACCACCATGGTAAGATCAGTTGCTAAAAACTACATAAAAGATTGTGAATTCATGCTCTCTTAAAAAATAAGGTTACCTTTCTAAAATGTAAGTGCATTCTAAATTACAAATTAAATAAACTACATATTCATACTAAATCCAAAGTATGAAAAGTTAGCTTAATGAGTGATAAATTTAAATTTTGATTTGTACAATTACTTAATTTAATTTATAATTCAGGGTGCATTCGTTTATCAAAAGGGTGACATGTTTTTTTAAGAGTGTGCGCACATGTTTATGTACTTACTATACTATTTGATATTTGTGTGTGTACATAAATATTTATGTATGTATGTACGTACCCTTACCAGAATTTGTTTCTGGCTTTGGACGAGTTTCTTTCAATAGTAGGAAAATGCATGCAATTCTTTCAGTTTGTATGTATGTAAATATGCTAATTTTAGGTTAAAATGTTTACAGTTTTTTATGTGTAAATCCAGCCAACTATATACTAAGGGACGTGTTTCGTGTAAATGTTTACGTACATACTGATTTATTTGTAACTACTTAAATACTTATGTTACATAAACATTTACTTATTAATAAAACTTCGTTGAGGTTTGAGTTATTCACTGATTCATTTTTAGGATCAAGTGAGTTGTATTGTTAGCAATAAATAGAACTATATTTATTTAAATGGAAAGTAATACATAGATAAATAGTGTGGTTCTTACTCCGTATTTTGTGAATAGTACTTATGTAAATATATGTCTGTATGATTGCGAAGCGAATTTACATTTGCATTTTCGATTTAGCAGTACAAGCTGCACATTTCACAAACTCTACTACAAAGTGTAGATTTAATAAATTACAATTTAATAGGAATCATCCTCTCGATAAAACAGCCTTTTAACAATTGTAAATTGCATGTAGGTAATTAAATTCCCTTTTTAAAAATATATGCACTCCGAATACTCGCCAGCTTATTTCCTCGGGAATAGTACCAGATTAAGTAAATAATAATAATACTGCATTTACCTTAGAAAAGGGTACAACTATTTTTAATAATGCAAATTATCCATCGTAAACTATATATACATACGAAAATTACACATTTGTACAAATAAATAAGGAAAATGTTGCCGGCAACTAATCAGTCTTCTACAGCATCCAAACACTTCATAGTTCCGGCCAAATTAAAAAGTAGCCCGTACTTCCATCTACTTGTGTTTCCGACTTTCCACCAGTAACACGATCAAAACGCAGACTAAGGTCCATCCCAGAGAAGTGACGAAACCTCTCGTCACATAAAAGTTGTCTAATCCCCACCCCCTCGATGCGATCGACCTTAGTGCGTCGTTCGGGTAGGTGGAGGGCAACCAGTGGCTAAAATACTGGCGGAAATAGTCTGGCGACCACTCCAAGGGAAAAAACAGACCTGCAAAATTCCAAACATGATTATCCTTCGTGCCAATTTGTCCATTTACCTGGACTTGAATGCACTCTTAAAAATAATTCTAACACTTAATTTGAAACGTAAATGCACCCTGAATTTTATATTAAGTAAATCCGGATACTAAATTCAGGGTAAATTTTGCTCCTAATCGAGTTAACGTTACTCTTGATTTTGTATTGCTTACTTAATATCGAATTCAGAGTGCATTTACTTTTAAAATCTGTCACAAAATCTTTAAGAGTGTGTATGTATAAAAAATAAAATCTACCCACCTGACGCGGACGCCTGCGTAATGAAAATCCAAAGAACTATAATGATCGCTTCGAGCGCTGTATCCCGCAACGTTCCGATCATCCAACCTGCATAAAAATTATAAAAAAAACATATTTCACACTTTGTTAAAGAAGTTTTTAGAAAAATATTTCTCCAAACATTTGTGAGCAAAAATTTTACTTAATAATTTATCTATTTCATATTTATTACCGATCGCTAGTCCTTCAACGGACGCTAGGAAAACGAGCGCTAACATGAGCACCCACGACCCCTTGACCCGCATCCCGTACACCGCCGTGAGCAAAGTGACGAAGACGATGAGTTGGATGACAATCTTGGTCGAGTCGGTCAGCAAGGAGGCCGCGATGCGATGCCGCAGCGTCACACCGGCCGCGTAATCGCGATCTTCCAAACCTTCTGAGCGATCCACGATCCATACTATACCGCCCGACTGCGATAGGAACATCATTAACCTGTCGAAACCGGTAAATGTTAAATATTTTACAGTATTTCACAAAAAGGATGCAGGTTTGAAAATAATAGAAAATAATGCAAAAAAATTGCGAGGTGCAAAAAAATGCGAAAATGTGCAAGAAATTCCCGCCATCTAGCGAAGGGGAGAATTATCTGTGTTTAGCTTCTTGCATTTACTAAATACAGATCAAAATCAGGATAGGAAACTACTTTATTGCCCTTATTTACTGCAAATGGTTCCTTGCAAATTTTTGCACAACCGAGTTTCGCGAAAACTACAGCAATGTTAAGGAACGCTAAATATGCCCAAATTTATTTAAATAAACTTACACGACTAGCATAGCGGGCTCGGAAAATCGAATAATGCTTTCAATCCCCAAACCCCCATAGATCGCGTGGAACTGCAAAACATAAAAGAAAAAAATCGGTCATAAAAAATTTGACACTTTTTTTAGAAGCTGGATTAGCTTTATACTCACGTAAAGTGGTGGCTGGACAGATTCTTCACTGCCACCGCATGACGTTGCCATGGCGCCAATGTATTTTAAGTAGTTGGTCACAATTAATTGCTTTATCCAGGTGGCAGTTATAATATCTGTTAAACGATGTTACATTAATAGTTGTTCCTAATTCTGGCAAGGATGGAGTTGTCCGTGTCATGTTTGCCTAATTTGTCATATGTACATGTCATATTTGCTAATTTGACCATCCAATTTGTCACAATTCCAATGTCACGGACAAATTAAACATATAAATATGACGATTTGAACATGTCATATTTGGTTTATTTCTGATATGTCATGACGGCACATCCATAAACTCTAGTACAATCATAATTCAGCCCAATCTTCGAGTTATCTATATTATAAGCTGGAAATGTTTGTCTGCAACGGAAGTGAAAGTAATTTTCCGTGACGGAAGTAAAAATTGAGAAAGTTTCACTTCCCTCGCCAACAGGCATTTGTAGCTAATTTTATAGTAAAAAAATGATTCGCTGGAATTATGAACAATTCGACTTAATTTTCACGAAAATCAAATACGCTCTTGCCCGGCGGGAGACGGGCTTATACGCTAGTGTTTGTACATTTTCATACTTTTTAAATTCTTTTGTGGAAATGCTTACTTGACTGATCCATCGCGATTGAGATCGTGGTTCCATCAATGGTTTCGTTCGAAACGTAATTTCTCTCGAGTATCCGGTTCCTCATGTGGTTCGTGTAATTATGCGGGAACTCCACTAATGCTACTGATTTTCCAGCACGAATGTTGTACAACCCGTTCTCCCAAGAATCTGTGGTCATCTGAAAAAAAAACATACATATTTTTTTTTAGATTTTATGAACCTTATTTTTAAGTAAAATTCAAACTTAATTATTCTAAATGATCTAGTTAATTCTGAATAGTGCGTCATTAGTAATTCAAACCCAAATATGGGATGAATCGTTTTCAGGAAATAATTAAATTTGGGAATATTTTATACCCTCAACAAAATTGTAATTTACCCCAACTAAAAATAATATTTCGGATAATAATAATTTTGGTTAGCCAACTGAATTATTTCTTTTTTGGTAATTTAATTATTTTTTTGGGCACTTTTATGAAGCTATTTGCATATGAAATAAATAGCTTTGTCGGACTTTTTATCATTGTTTGAGTTATTAACTCTTATTCTTGGGATAAAACCAAATTTTATTGGGTTATTAAATTTGCACCCATTAAATTTGATACTTACCCAGTTGAACTCGTAAGGTTTGAAATTCCCGACGAAATCACAGATTCCCAAATTTTCGAAACATCGACTTGAACCATTACTCCTTTGTACATCTCTTCCCTCACAGTATTTCTCGAGTTGGGCATTATTTGTTAAATTTGGGTTCCCTGTGACTAACGAAACTCCAATATTTCTCGGCTCCAAACCCACCACGTTTTGCAGCACAATCAGGACCACGATCGGCATGAGGAGTTCGGCAAATACGAGTCTAAATGTATAGACAAACGGATTAAAAACAATTTGTATTTTCAGTTCAATTTAAAGAAAAATCTACTTTCCAAGAAAAATAGAAGTTTCTGAAAATTGATAAGCAATATGTCTGATGGGCTAGAAATTTTACAAAAAAATTTGCCACCAACAATAAAGACAATTCTTCTTCAAAATTAGTTACATCATCTAATCGTACGTACGTAAATATGCAAATTTTTAAAATACGTTCAACTTTCTCACAATAAATCTCCTCTTACTTTAATTCCCTAGATTTTCCAAATCCATAGCTTTGCATGTAGTACCAGAAAAAATTAGCATAGCTTTATAGTAGCAAAAGCTACATTTGTCTCAAAACTCCTAAGCTTCATGCCATTTTTTTTTTAATTTTTATTAAAAATATAGAGGCAGAGTGTGATTAAAATCTATAATCGTCATTTTATGCAACCTTAATTTATATGTTTAAAATTCATAGTGCATTTACCGTTAAAAAGGGTAACACTACATATTTTTAAGAGTGTGAGGCACCTACCTCCAGTCCCGCTTTCTCCTCCGCCACGCCTTAAGCACGAGCGCTTTTACGACGGATTTATGGTTCGTTTGTACATTGACGGGCGAGAGGACGACGTTGTCATGCAGGGTGATGGACAACTTCCGGTACAATTTCGCCTTCACGACGCCCGTCTCTTCGTCCTCGATGATCTTGTCGGGATCTATGGAAAGCGGTTTGGCGTTAAGGACGTCTGGGTTGGCGGAGATGGAGGGACGCGTCTCATGCTGGCGGCAGAGGTGAAGGGCCACGCCTTCCAGGGAGGTCTCGCCATACATTGTGAGAAGGGCGGTGGGCGTGTCTTCCGCGAGAAGTTGACCGCACCGCATAAAACCAACCTGAGTAAGACAACGGTACAAATTTAATTAGAGATTACAATTTTGAAAATGAACTTTCAATTTTCTAAATTTTATCATCATACGTAGAACTCTTAATGAATAACTCAACTGAAATGTGAACGCAATTTCGAAATAAGTTATTCAATTTTTTAATGTATATATTTGTTTATTCATGACAAAGGATTTTCAAGCTAAAATTAGAAAATCTTCAAAAATAGCTTTACCATAAAAATTGAAATTTACCAACAATAATAAAATTTGACCTACCTTGTCACACCGCTTGCACTCTTCGATATAATGCGTCGAAATTATAATGGTGGTCCCTCGCGTGCGTGAAATTTCGAATAAATGTTCCCAAATTCTAAAAATTTGATTCATACATAAATAATCATCTTACAAAACATTCATTAAATTTCATACCTTTGTCGTAACAGAGGATCCAGGCCGACTGTTGGCTCTAAAATGGGGTCATCATTAAGTTACATCATCTTACAAGGGACACTCACGACCTGTCGTTTGAGTCCAGGATACCCACCATGTTTTTTAGAATCTACTAGGACCCCAGATGAAGGATTCATTCATATTTCCGTGTAAAACTCATATTTGGCGCCGTGCCGTGGCGCCAAACTTAAAAATTTGCATTTTCGACCAATTTCAAACCCTCATAACTTTTGCAGATTATGTAGGATTTTCAAATTTTTATGCTTAAAATGATCACACAAGTCCAAATTTATGAGAAAAAAATAAAAATAAAAAATTTCTAATTTTTGAAATATTTCTAGCATTTTTCCGACGAACCCTCATTTCTAAGAAAATTACGAAATTTTGCGAAAATTTAAAAGCAAAAATTTTGGAAAAAATTTCATGGGATACGAAAGTTGAACTCCTTGTCATGATTTTTGCAAAAAATTTTGAAAATCCGCCCAGGATTTCAAAAGTTATGGCGGTTTCAAAAATAAAAACATTGAAATTTGGCGAATTTGGCGCCACGGTACGACGCTAAATATGACTTTTACACGGAAATAAGAATGAATCCTTCATCTGGGGTCCTAGTAGATTCTAAAAAACATAGTGGGTACCCTGGACTCAAACAACAGGTCGTGAGTGTCCCTTGTTAGTCTTAATTGTAAATTGACACAAATTATTTATTACCGTCGAGAACGAGGAGGGCAGGATTGTGAATCATAACCACGGCTAAGGACACCCTCCGCTTCTGACCCCCACTGTACATGCCAATTTAAAACAAATTTAAATTTCCAGCTACCCAACTGACCACGTGGCATTTCTGATTTAAATTTGCATACCTCAAATGCTGAATTTGTCTCGACAAGTCTGGCAAGTCGAGAAAGCTGGCGAGGAACTTGATCTTGTTTTCTATCGCTTTTTCCGACATGCCATAAATTAAGCCAAAGTGGTGCAGCGCTTCGTCAATAGTTAACACGTTGAGGAGAGAAATGTCCTGAAAAATGTTGTTACAAATTTTATTTACAAAGTTTTTCATAAATATCTAATTTTTGTAATGGTTTCACTTTCTTATTTTCAGAACCATTGGCACAATTCACGGAGTCATTGCTAACTTGTAACCTTCATAAAATAATTTCATACATAAGTTTTACAATATGAAAAGACTGGTGTAATTTAAGATTGATCTGATTTTCAAAATTGTAAAAATTTGTAGACTAATTTTCCTTCGAAACATTTTTAAACTTTTGCAAAAATATTTGAGTTTACAGATTTTACGGATAGTTTTGCAGGGTTACCCAGACCTGCGTTAATTGCCTCATTTTTTTCCAAAATCGTGTTTCACATAAGTATTTTTTAACCGTGTTAATTTCCGATCTATTTTTTGGCAAGTTTACTAATCTATTAATTTGACAAAATCACTTACTTGTGGCATGTAGCCGCACAAGTGACCCAGGTGACCGTTCCTCTGTTGTCCGAAGACGATAAGGTCACCACGGTCGAGTTGTCGCAGGCCGACGACGCATGAGAGAAGAGTCGTCTTTCTAAAAAAAATCAAAAATATTTATTTTTCACTCTTCAAATTTTGCATGCGCAAAAAATTCGCAATAATTTGCATAAATATTTCATGCATTTTTGAACTTATTTTCGTAAACTCACCCGCACCCACTCGCACCGAGGAGTCCATAACTAAATAAATTAATTAATAAAATGACGATAAATTAATTTTACTTGTCTGATGTTTTTTGAAAGTTTTTTTTAGGAAATTTCAAATTTGAAAAAAGTACATTTCTCCCCGAGCCACGCTCATATTGAGATCTTTCAGAATGTAGGATCCTTTAAAGTATGACTTGGTCCCGTTTCTCACGCGTAACGCCATTATAAATTTTATTCTTAATTTGGCAAAGTCTTTAAAAAATAAACTCTTTCCAGAAAGTTTAAATTTCAGGCAAAATTTGTCCCACTTTTTTTAGAAATTTTATACAAATCTAAATTTTCAAAGGGAAAATATATCCTCATCACCCGAACAGGAACTACTTGTCTTCACTTGAAGGTGTAAATTATCACTGGGCTCGTACGTGGAGAGGTTGTTGCATTTTAATAACAACAGTAAATAAAACATAATCGTCATAGAAATGAATGGAAAAATCCGACAGGGTTCCGCCACCCAACATACATAAATTTGCATATGTTAAGCAAAATCAAACGAACAAATATTTTTTTGCATGGAGACGGACTAAAGTATTTGCACATATTTATGTACCTACTTATGATCCATGTACAAATACGGTGAAAAGATACCTTCACTCAACAGGGTTTAACTTGTGATAATCACAATTTGTGATTTAGCTGTGATTTCTGCGATTTTCGCACGCTGTGATATCTTCGCCAATTATGTTTTGTGATGATGTAAGGTAAGCAATAAGGTCGCATAGTTGCATAAAATTAAGTAAAATCACATTTTTGTAGAATTTTGCATACCTTAATTGCTAGTGGATTTTAAAATCCACTTTTAATGGGTTTAAATGGGTTTTAATGGATTTAAAACAAATTGAGACTTTAAAAAACCCTTTTGCCAATAAATAATAACTGTCTTCATATCGCCATATTTTTGCACATTCCTTCGCCAAACCCTGTCACACTTCACGTACGCAAGTTCAAGTTCATACACAACTCTCACCTGTGCTGTGTTATTGTGCATATCTCATCAACACATCATCGCGTGACCACCTCTCACTCATTGCACACCCAAATCTCGTCAGTTCTGATTCCAAGACTAGTTTTTTGTCCTCAATTGGAATCCCCAGTTCCAAGGGTTTTACATAACATACTTACACAATCCAACGCAACTTGTTATTATTATTTATTACGAATTTTTGGGAATGCGTTTTCTTAATCACGTCTTCGCAAAAATATGATTCATTTCCCGTTCAAATAACTTCATTTACCTTCAAAACAAACACGCTTTTGATGAGTTCTAATTATTTTTCCGACACTCTTAAAAATAGTGTTACCATTTTGAAAAGTAAATTCAGTGTGAATTCTAAGTTAAGCAAGCTATAAATACTAAATCAGGTGCAGCATTAACTTGATAAAGAGTAAATTTTGCTCTGGATTTAGTATAATTTATCTGATTTAGAGGGCATTAAATTCTCAAAGTACTTATTATCATTATTTTTAAGAGTGTGCCTGGACCGAAACATGACGGTGTAGACGTTGCCTTGCCCCAGTAAATATTTTTGCAATTCAACCTCATGCGAGTTTTTCATGTGCATTGTGCAAAATTTAGCATGTCAACATACTTTTAATGTCAACAAAATGCTGTGAAGTTTGACGTCATCGTTTCCCTAGAAAAATATATATGTAAATTGTTGTGTGCAAATTTATCCAGCAAGAAATGATAAGGATGTTTATGTAACATGCAATTTTTTTACTTCTTCTTAAAACAGCTTCGACGTGGCAGAGATCCTGAGGTATGTAAATGCGACCATTAAAATGTGGCATCAATTTTTCGTAATTCCTGTCTTGAATTGAGCAACTAGCACAGATATTTTATGTGCATAATTAATGTAACCATGGACCATGCTGACCATGGAAACTGCAATGCATGCGTGCATATTCATTATTGTATTCTTGCCTATTGCGAATAATTGCTTGATAGCATTTTCGGAAGTTTTTAGCAATACTCTAAACGAAAAATGCTATACAACAATACAAACATATCAATTTTTAAATTTTGCGTGTTAAGAAATTATGATGTAGAAATGTAATGGCTTTCCATTTTCAAAATATGTATGTATCAGCTAGTTTTTGCAAGTATTTTCTTGTAATGGTAAATCCAGATTTTTAAAAGCGCCTTATGTATTTTTCACCGACTTTAACAAAATTGTGCGAAGTATACCTACCTACACCGTCACTTTGTTATTCCCCATTATATAATTTGCTCATTAACAAAAACATAGCATTGCGAAAAACATTTGCTAAATGCAATTTTAGTGCACATTTTCCACCACAAGTTCAGCATTTTTTATGTACAGTAGGTAGATTGTGGGAATATAATTATGTATCATGTTAAGCACCTCTTCCCTGAGACTGACAGACTGCAAATTTACAAATATTTCGTAATATGTATCCAAATTTCCAGGCAGGAATGACGCCCCGTGGTGGGAAATACATACATACATACAGCCATTTTTATGTACTTTTTACGTCATGCGTATGTAAACCCAACTCAAGGTACACACACACGTGGCTTTTTTGCCTTTATGTACTTAACAAAACAGCAATTTTCTGCACTAATCTGGCCATAATTGTGTATTCTAGTAAAATTAATTAATTTCTCGTCAACTGCGAAGAACATGAATTAGGCAATTAAGGAAAACAAAGCCCATGCTGTCTTAGGCACGTTTCATAATTTTGGAGACAAAAAATAAATGAGTTGTGCACTTTCAGAAAATGAGTACATGTTAAAACTCAGAAAAAAATGTGTAATCCATCCTGGACAAAGAAAGCTAATGTATGTACAAATTCGGTCTGAGACAAGACTTTGAGATGTTTCCCAATACGAAATGGGATGGAAATCCCAACCTATTTCGCATCCGACTCTTGACCACAAATTAATCCTCCCTCTTGCTTTCTGACTAAATAATTATGTGTTTACGTTGGGGTCATGCAAGTAGGACGTGGTCAATTTACGAAGCCTTCGTTCGACACTTATTTACTTTTAATGGGAGATGACTCAAGTTAAACGTTTGTTATAAAGCTTCTCCCTAGTGCAAATTTACACTAATTTATGCATAAATTTGCCCCAGTTTTCTGCATAAAAACTGTATTCAGAACGATTTCTGCAGAAAACTTGACAGGACCATGCTTAAACGATTCTCCAGAATAAAACGCACAGAAATTTTGGGTAGGATTTTACAAAAAAAACCTACAGTGCAGACTCCATATAGCCCGAGTCAGGGACAGAGTCCCTGAATCGGTGATTCAGAGTTCTAAATTTTTCTCCGAATTGACCGACATAATACACAAACTCCGTGATTTGGACAGTTTAATGTGTGTTACATTTTTTATTATTTGGCATCAAATCCCTTAACAACTTGAACTTCCAAAGCTGTGTGTGCTATCCAGAAGTGGTTTTTATCCCCCATACCAAATTTCAGATGGAAATAGCAACTTTTAAATTAGTATTTATTATAAATTAGTATTATAAATTAGTATTAGTAATTATTTTAAATTTTAAAAACGGTATGGGTCAGCCTCCAGGGTCACTCTGGTTGCACTTTGCTTACTTTTTCCTTCAAATTCTTTCGTAGGAAGCCATTAAGTACCACCATGCAGGATTTCATGTTTTTAAAGCAATTTCTAAAAATCGGTATGGATCACCCCATAGGGTCGCTCCAGATAAAAATTTTACCAATTTCATATCATGTTCCTACATTAAGACCCATTAGCAACCTCTCTACCAAATTTCAGCTCGATATGATGATTTTGAAAAATCCGTATGGGTCACCCTATGGGGTCCCTCAAATTGAAAATGTTTCCAACTTGAAGTAATTTTTATCCATTAGGAACCATTAGCAACCTCTGTACCAAATTTCAGCCTTCTACGACAATTTTGAAATTTTGGTGCATAATACCCCACCCACTCCGATGAACCCCACGGGTCAACCACTGGACCGATTTCACGCATCCTCGAACTCGTTTCCTAACTTTGTCCAATATGCGTATGGTAAAAATTTCAAGTCAATCGGTTCAGCCGTTTTAGCTCTATCGTGCCGGACAGACAGAAAGACGGACGGACGGACATGACGGTTCCATAAGCCCTGACTCGGGCTAAAAATCTATAGAATACAATATGCATCGAGGTTTTGTCCATTTCTGTAGAATTCGGAAAAAGTAAACTCTATTTGACTGACTAGTGAGATTTCTATAATGTATAAATTATACATGCGCTTGAACAGTCCATGGATTATTAATCACTTAATTGCCCATGGTCATTTTAATCCATGCCTATGCCAATTATTATTTGCATTAAAAGGACACCATTGCGCAACATATTGAAGACCTTCCGCAATGCTCATTTTTACTCTGATTCTGATCCTCCAACATTTACATGCACATGCTGTAGAACTTTTTTTTTCTTTGTAGGTGGTGTATTTATGTATAAAAATTTGTTAATTTTAAAAAAATATACGTTAAATCTGCAGGAATGAGACCAACCTGAAAAATGTTATCAATTAAAAAAATTAAATGTAGATCAAGTTCCCTCGTTTACAATCAGGATCGGAGTCAACATTTTTTGCGAACCAAACAAAATATATCAATTTCATTGATATTCTTGCCGTTCTTGTATATAATGGCAACCATTTAAAAAATAAGGCGACCTTTTTCATGTAAATACCTTGTACATGCGTAACCTTTATGCAGCTTTACCTATTGGGTACCTTAACCAAACACTCTTAAAAATGATGTGACTGTTTTGTAAAGTAAGTGCGCTTTCTGAATTCCAAATTACCTATAAGTAAGCTTTACTAAGGAGAGATTAAGCTTTATTCTTTATTAAGGTAACGTTACTCTGGATTCAGAACACTTTAAAGAATTCAGAATTATGAGTGTATTTACTTTTTGATAGAGCACCATTATTTTTAAGAGTGTACATCTTTGTAATACACCAAAATTGAATTGCATTCATGTCCATGACCAGGACCTTCATTTGGATATGTTTGCATTACATAAACTCACAATGGAGGTCTCCCAACGTATGGTTAAAGATTTGGAGCAAACTAGCGTCAATCGATTGCAAATATAATTAGTATGAAATTTGCAAATGGAACCATTTGCCAATGCTCACGTTTTACGGAGATATTTGCACAAAAAGAGGAAAAAACTCACCTCCAAGGCTGGCAAATTTTATATTTCCCAAATTTGTTGCGCATTTTTCCCGCTTGGGATGCAAATATCTCCGCCAAACCTGCGCATTGGAAGATAGTTCCATTTGAAAATTTCCTACTAATTATATTTGCGATCGATTGATCTAGTTTGGCCCAAATCTGTGAGCATACGTTTAGAGACCTCCATTGTCAGTCATTCATTGGATTGGATATTGCCCAGCTCTGGTTGTAAATAAATGCATTATGCTCCAGTAACAATTTTAGATGTGTAATTATCTTAATTTTCCTCCCTTCCGGATAAGATAGGCGACTTACTGAATTTGGTGAATTTTTAGCAATTAATATGAAAGTTATAGGTACAAGATTGTTAAACATATATATTTATACACGCACTTATGTATGTACATACATTCCTCAGCCTCATGTGATATGTGTGTCTTATTTCAAGATGTAAATATATGCCATCTAAAGGGACCGCGCAAACAGTATAAACTCTTTTCGCCGGCTTATCAGGTAAGATAATGCTACCATACACTCTTAAAAATAATGTGACTCTTTTCATCAGCACATGCTCTCCAAACTCGATATTAAATAAACTGAACTAAATCCAGAGTAAACTTTTCTCTTTATCAAGTTAACATTACGCTGGATTTCGTACAGTTTCCTTAACTTAGAATTCAGAGTGCAGTTACTTTTCAAAACTTAACATTATTTTTAAGAGTGTATCCTTCCTACGTAAATATTTGAGGTGTAGCTTGTAAATATGTATGCGTGAAGACTTATGATGAAGGATGCATATTTTTATTGCACAATTTTTGCACGGTCCTCTTCAGAGACCAGTTTCCTATAAGGTAGGTTAGTTAATCTCTTGTTAATTCCTGTTCTTAATATCTCACTCTCTTGGGATTCCCCAGCAGAAAAATAAAATCCTGACTAGTTCAGAATGCTAAATTGTTCACTTTATAAGTCGCCGACTTGTTGCAAATTGCCAAAAATTTCCTAATTAAATTGAGCCATTCAACTCTTCATTTTGGGGAGGACATAGTTTTGTTCACGGTGCGTAAAGAATGTCATAAATTTTACAGTTTTTTGGAATTTTTTCTATTTTAATTGTTTCTTACATATTTGATATTGGTAGAGACCAATAAATTACGACACACTTCTTGCACGATCCCTTTAATATGCCTTGTTTTAAATAAACTATATATCTTTTATCAGCCGTAATAAAACCCAGTTTTTTATCATCAATAAACGTGACAATGTTATACATATATCGCCAACTTAATTTACATATTGTCTAAATACATTTGTATGGAACGTTTGGATGAATCCGGTACTTCATTTTCTTTCTCTTGATAAACAGAAAACCCAAGTCCATTAAAAATGACAAAAGTGGATATGCATGCATCTTATGAACAATAACAAAAACACATACATTTTTATGTCTGAGAAGACTTATAAATAAATAATTACGGGTAAAAGTGAAACTTCGTATTTAGATGTTTTCTAAAGACAATAACAACTTAGTTATGGAAAACTAAACACATTTTTATACTATTTTTCTCAATAATATCTGTACATGAAGGCAATGTGATTACATCAGGACCTCCGATATCTGCAGAGGGAAGAAACAGGTTCATTTTTAGTAGACGTAAATCTGACAAAATGATATAAACTCTTACCTACATACATTAGGGGTCGTCCATAAATTACGTATCGCGAGAGGGGAGAACGGGGTCTAAACTTCCAATAATATTGTGTCTATGTGACACATGTTACAAGGGGAAAGTTGATAAAAATTAGCGATTATTGCCTTACGTAAATTATGGACCGCCCCTTAGAAATATGCATATTATTAGTACATACATACATGAATAGCAAAAATCATCCTCACCAAGAAAATTATATCCAAGTAAATATTATTGTGGGCAGGAGTAATCGATAATTTTAGACTTAAGGAGCCGTACATAAAGCATGTGATTGATTTTCGGAGAATTTCTATCCCTGCCTCCCGTAAGTCCGATGTTATAATTCATGGGAGGGATAGCATGCCTTTACCCCTCAAACCGATCACACGCTTTCTGCACAGTCCTTTATTACGTTGAAAATTATCCTGGATAGAAGAATGTGTATTTCTCTCTCAAGAACATTTGTTTAGTCGTCCAACGTTAACTTCTTTTCCTTATGGGAATCTCCATGAAGTGCATAATTTGTAAATATTGCAAGTCGAAAAACTACGTACGTCCCTAAACCTAGTTTCAATCTCCCCGGAGTAAATTACATATTAATTATGTTTCTACTTGCAAAATTCCAAAACTTCTTACGAGTTCTTAGCTGACAGCGTGAGACAAATATTTCAAAATTTCCATTTCTATGTATATATGCAACTTAACGTACGTCATTGCGATCATGTATTTTAAAAATTAATACTTAACAGGCTGACACAAAATTTTCATCGATTTTGTACCAAAAAGTTTGACATATTTAAATACATATGTATATGGTTCAAATTGAATCATTCAATCACTTTTATCAATTTAAAACGTAGTAAATTTGTAAATATATGATTTAATTCCTGAGTTTTACGTTTTTGGTGTGCTCATTACTGTCGCTGCGACATCAAGTTAGATCCTATCCGTCAAAAACTTTTAGAGGGATTTTTTATTTTGAGCTTTTCATACCTATTTAGAGTATGCGGGAAGTCTGGAAAATGACGCGCTTAAGATCTGGATTACGTTACCATAATTGTTGGAACACGCTTTAGCTGCGGATTTAAATATTATAGCAAACAATACATGCAGGTAAATATTACCTGGATAGAAGTAACTATTTACATGTATATCCTGCAACTATTAACACCTTGAGATTTACCAAGATTTCTGTTAACTAATTGTCTACCCTCAAGATGAGGAAAAATCTCGTTAAACTATTTGTCCCACGTTAAAATCAGGTAGATTCTTGTTAGCTAATCCGATAATATTGAAATGAGGAAGGAGAGTTAGTTTAATTAATCGTTAAACGCTAAAAGGAGGAGGAGGATTAATTAAGTAATCATTAGTCGAATATTATTCTTACGTGCTAGATTATTAGCTAATTAATCGACACACCTTGAGAGAGAAAAGATCTCAGGCCTGTATAAAAACAAAATTGATTCAACCATTAGACGAATCACTTCACGGGGATTCCAATAAGGAAAACGTTCTCATTATTGGAGTTATCGACCATTCTTGGAGGAGAAATATGCACATATTTTCTGCAAGATAGCCAAGGGTTATGTATAGAGGACCTCACATTATCAGTCCACTTTAGTTTGAATCTTTGAACTTGAATATGCGTGAATTTGAATCCGGAACAAAAGATGATTTATCCTCCTTTTTATTCCAATTCTTGGTTGGGTTGGACAAAGTTTTATGCATTTTATTTCAATGTCGTATATTATAACGATATGTCCGTTTCATGGTACTTGTCCCTTTCCAAGTGCTCATCTCTTAAATGTATCATTGAAGGTACACATTACGAGTTCGCATCGCAACATAAGTCTTTCTAAATTGCCAATTTCGAATTTTGCCAATCAACGAAGTGACGACACTTGGTTGATTGGATACGGATTGCTGCGAATGGATGTTTTTCAAATGTCTTGCATTTTATAATGGGAAAAATTCGTAAATTTTCATAAGTTACCGAAATTTTGCATTTGGAATTTATAAAATTTCACAAGACCTGTAATTTCGTATGACCGTTATATGTACATATGTATGTATGTACATACTCGATGAAGAGTCTAAAGTTTCTGCAGGTGTGCGTAAGGGTAATGAAAATCCACATGCAAATCTAAACCAGTCGAAGAACTGAGATCAGATTGCTGCAATTGGACAAAGTAATTTGCCCATCCTTGAATGAAAAATCCGGAATTGAGCAAATTCCGAATTTTTAATTTTTTTCCAGTTTTTGACCACATACATATATCTGACTTCCCCGAATTGATGTATTTGTTTGTAATTTAGCATCCACTTTAAATGGTTAAAAATACAAAATTGGCCAATATTACGTGCATATTAGCCATTCATATTTAAAAATATGTAAAATTACATTTTGGGCCATTTCCATGCACTCGCGTTGCATGCAAAAAAATGCATGACACAGTCAACAAAGAGCGATGGTTGAATTGTGGGTGAAGTGATACCGCGCGAGCGTGCAGCACACGATATTTACAATATTTTTAATCAGCAGGTAGAATTTCGTATCTTGTCAAGTTTTTTCGTTTCCGGATTAATTAACATTTTGTGGTGAAATTTGCTCTGATTATCCATTACAAAAGAGGCACACGTGGTCTAATTATTGAAAAAATTGACTTGGTAAGAAAACTTTACTTTTAAGTTTGTACTTTTGAGTTTTGACTTTTGGTTTTGATTTTATAAAATTAAATTTGAAATTAGCAGTTTTTCTTTAGATTTTTGTTAAATATTGTCACACATCACACAATTATAAAATTTAAACGGTTTTCGAGTCGTTAAAGCCTTCTCCACTGCAAAAGTTAGTTTGTAGTCTAAATTTCTCCACATTGTGAGTTTAGTTATCGTTATTTTTAAAGTAAAATAATGTTTTATGAAGAAGTTCGTACCTATTTACTTAAATTTATGTTACGTTAATTTATGTTACGTTAATTTATGTTAAAGGTGCAAAATTATGAAGCAGTTCACGCAATGGTTGCCAACCATTGGTTGGTAATATTGTAAATTCTGTAAATTTACAAGTATTCCTAAACAAATTTTGCTTAGAAATCTTTGTAAACTTGCTCCCATCCAGGGCGACTTTTTTATGTAAAGGTGTAAAACTGTCCGCCCGAATTTTACAAAGTTGCAAATGACTGCGTTAATTGCGTCATCAAATTATTGGACGTTTTTTTTCGAATTATTTCAGACGTGAAAATTTCAATCTACACGAAGATTCCTGCGGACTCACTTATCAGGTATTTTCCGGTATTTGAAACTCTTTTATCTCGTTCTCGTAGCTCTAAAAAATTTCGTGCTTATCCGAAATATTTGTTGTTTCCAGCCCACTCGGATAAATTAAATAAACGGATAAGCCCGACTCGCGATGACCTGCTTTCTCTGCGCGTCCCCTTCGACATCCGACGTTCCCCACAACGGCCACGTGACCCGACAAATCAGTCTCTTTAAGGATCTCTTAAACAAAGAAGCCTTCGCCAAGGGTTTCCTCGCCCATTCGACCTACTCCCTCGAATACCCCACCGCCGAAAATGAGAGCGACAAATCCTGCGCCACGTGCCTCACACGTGTCGGCCAAGTGTGGGAATTGCACCGAGAAATTTTAGAGCTGCAAGGCGAAATGAAAACCATGCTGGGGAGAACACTTTTCGAACATGGTAAAAAATTGGAAATATTAATTTATAAATTGATAAAGCAGTTAACTCCGATTTTTGTAACTTTATACAAATTGTATACAATTTCATAAGGACAAATTTCACGTATTAATTTATCATGTAATTCACGCTGTTGTTGGTAAGTCGTAAAATCCGGGCGCTTTGTAAATATGCAATTTCACAAACTTTTACAAAATACTTAAATAGAAGATTACAAAAATTTATAAGCTAGATATTTTTCATTAAAAATATTTGTGAAATTTTTAAAGTTTGCAGAATTTACGGATTGTATATTTGTAAAATTTTTAAAGTTTACAGAATTTACGGATTTTACGACGTTACAAAAGACTGCGTGAATTGCTACATTATTCCATTCTGCTAATAATTTTGCTTTAAAAATTTCAGTCGGGAAACTTACCCCTCGAAAGAAAATAGCTGCCTCAAAAAGGAAGAAACAAGTCCAAGAAGGAAAAAAGGCTGCTCCAAAATGCGACCAAATAATGAGCGAAATCCGGGACGAAGCCACGCCCGTGTTCAACAGCAGGATCAACAGTTCCGCTCCCACGCCTGCGCCACGGCAATGTAAATATTTCTTTAAAAAATGAGGACCATGCACTCTTAAAAATATTGTTGTTCTTTAAGAATTACATAAATGCAATATCTTAACCTAGTCTACGCTCTCCGATTTTTAGCAACTTAGTGTCAATCCGTCATAAATTTAGTTAATATTAAATTTGAAAAGGACAAGATCTCCCAATTGGAACGTTTGGCAGCGATATTTACATCCGAAGAGGAAAAAATGGGCAGAAAGGTTACAATTTGTCAGCTTTATGACGCGTTTTCTCCTCGTTGGATGCAAATATCTGGGCGAAACTAGAGCATTGGGAAATCGTCTCTTTTGCAAATTTCATACTAATTAAATTTCTATTCCATTGACACTAATTTGATCAAAATCAAAGAGCATACACTGAGAGACCTCCGTTGTACATACATAGGTAACATAACGTAATGTAGAATAATTCGGGGTGCATTTACATACTCTTTAAAGAGTAAAGTAAATTAATTTTTAAGGGTGTCCATAAAATTTAAAAAATTATGGCGATTATTTATTTTAGACAGTGCAAAGAAACCTGCACCAAGCGAACCTATAAACATAAAGACCGAGACAAACCCCGAATCCACAAGTACAAAAGCCCACCCTGGCCGGTTCCTTCCTGCAGATCCCATCCAGCACAAGGACACCATCATCAAGAAGGAACCAAAAGACACCATCGTCCCCGTCAAAGTAGAGGGAGACGACGCCTTCTTCGAGTTTGAAGACGCGGAGGAAATGCCGATCGCGTCGTCCACATCGTCGTCAAATCCGCATTTTTCAAATCCTGTCGTTTCTACTGCAAAGTCTATCCGCAGGTGGGCAAATATCTTCAAAAATAACGATATACCTTTTCGAAAAATAAATTCACTCTTTAATTATTGATTAAAGCCTAGTGGTCAGGACGGATTTGTCTTGTACATAGAAAAGTTTAGGAAAAACGGGAAAAGGATACTACAGTAAAATTTTGAAATTGATTTGTGGAAAGATTCCCATTTGGTACATTTTGTAGTGAAACTCGAGTAATTCAACTTGGCAATTCAAGTGAAGAAGTAATTTAACAGAAAGCAGAAAACCTGCATTTTCGTGTAAAAAATCCGTCCTGAGTACTAAGCTTAAGTAAATTGTACTAATGATAAATCTAGAGTAACTTTAGCCTGAGAAAGGTAAAGTTTACTCCACATTTAGTGCAGTTTAGTACATAATTTAGAATTCAGAGTGTATTTACTTCTCAAAAGGGTAACATTATTTTTTAAATCGAAAGTTTTTATAATTTAGAAATGATTTTTGACTACGCTTTTTATTTAGTTATTCCAGCAAACAAAGGGGACGCGACTGCCAGTTTGGGTGTACCCGATGTGAGGGCCTCTTCCCCACCAAGGCGTTCCTTATGAAGCATATTAGCAAGTGTACAGGAGTCAAATTCTCACGCTAAATATGTACTACCTCAACAATTAATAATGAAATAAATAAAAATGGTATGAGTCATACACAATACGTCCTATTTCATGTTAGTGCATAGCTTAATGAGAGATAAATAACTGCTTTTACAGACTTGACTACACTCTTAAAAATGATGTTACTATTTTGAATTTCAAAACTTGAAAAGTGCATGTCTTCTTAATTATGTAAATATATAGTAAGCAAACTACAAATAGGCATACACAGTGATTTATTTTTTGCTCTTAATCTGCATAGCGTAAGTACTCTATTTATATCCGCTAAAATCCAAAACTGAGGGTCACCGACCCGGCTAAATTTTTTCCGCCCAAAAGTTTAGATGTTACAAGGTCAGGCTGACTAAATTTGAAATAGTCAAAATATTTGAGCTCAAAGTTGAAAAAATGTACAATTTTTACCAAGCGGAGGAATCAAACTTCATTCCCATTCCCCGAATCTCCCATTTTTTTAAAATAACTTTGACCTTAAATATTTTGACTAATTCGCACCATCGCACAAATTGCCTCAAGAAACGTTGGTTCTTTTGACTTGGGCCACACAATTTTTAATTTTCAACCAAATCGGAGGGTTACACTTCAGGGGACGTTCATAAACTTCATAACGCTAAGAGGGGTGGGTGGGTACTAGAAATTCCGTTACGCAGCGTGACAGGGGGGAGGGTGGGTGAGCTGACACATGTTACTGTAACGCAAATTTCTTTTTGTCCGCACAATATAATTTTTAGAAATGCATGGATATAAAAGTACATAAAATGCATAAAAACGCATAAAAATGAATATATCTGTAAATATACTTTTTTAAATATAGTTTCCAACGTGTAAAGTTAGTGTAAGATTCAAGTAGCTATCTACTTTCTATTCTATCTAAAATCATGTTCTGCTTCGAAGCAATACAGCACCGCTTTATAGCCCAAGTTGGAGTTTATCTAACCATGGTTAAAGTTGTTTCTGTCAGTCAATCGATTGCGCTGTTAAGACTAATCTTAGCGACTAAAATTTTGTACACATCGAATAACATGAAATTATTATTCGGCAAGAAAATTACGAAAAGGGATTTGCTTTGTCAACGTTCATAAAAATCGTAGAGTTATAATTGCACCAATTTTACAAATTTTTAACTATTCTTAATATTAAAAAATTGAAATACTTTTGACACTGAAACACAAAAATTACGAGGAAAGTTTAAAAGAGCAGAAACGCTGCTTTTAAGTCAAAAGTATTTATTTTATTTATGTACATGTAAACTAAATAGCTAACTAGAATTTACATGTTGATTATCCTTGAAATTCAAGTATCACATGAATATACATACAAAAGGGGGCTGAAATAAGTGTAAACGAATTTGTTGTTGAATAACCCCGGAACGGATAGTCGTAGCGGGTCAAAATTTTGAACAGAGGAGCATGTTATCCTCAGATGGGCGTGTGGAAAAATTCAACTTTCTACTTTTAAAAATGCCTCCCCCACAGCCCCCAGAAGTTGAGACAGTCATTCCAACTCTTTCCAAACTACATATGTCTAAAAAATTCGATATCTGCAGAAAAGATTTTCTTTTCAAGTATCCGAACCCAAACAAGTCCATTTAACTTATATCAGGGGATTATACAGGTATTTCCCTATTCGATGTGATTTATATCTCCAATCTAACTTCAAGGTCTTTTGCATAATCTTGGGTCAACTTTGCCATCTGGGAAGACGCTGCGTCATCCTGAAAAACCACCTCATTTATTTTTTTACCCATGGATCGTTTTTCAAGCTATTCTGGAATTTCTTAGCGGTTTATGTATCTATCAAATAATTAAGCCAAAAAGAGGAATTATGTACATTGCACTTATTTTTCCACTGAATGACCAGTTTAAAGGAAACTGTTGCGGGGCAGAGTTCAAAGTCCACCATGGATTTCATCCAGTGGAGGAGAAAGATACAACATTTACTTAAAAATTAAACTTTTCCGTCAATATTTTTCTTCGAGGGGGCATTCAATGGAAAGATAAGTAAATTTATTTAAGTATCACGCGATTCCATTCACGCGATTCCTAGCTTTTGGTCTGACTTTTCGATACCCTCGCTGGGCAATCTTAGTGTTCATACCTTGAAAAGGTTAAATTTTTAGTTAAATTATTTTTTAAATTTTGATTGAAATGAAGTTTTCATTCAAAAGAATTGTCTACAAATAATTTTTTTGCTTTCAATAAGATTCAGATTTTTCATCCTCAAAGCGCAAATTAAAATCTCGTCAGTTTTACATATGTAAATAAATACACACAAATACAAGTCACATTATTACTGATATTTTAGAGCAGGCAAACTATCTTTGAGAAACAATAATTGTTCCGCATTTTCTGGACGTGAAAAGTATTTGAGGCTGCCGTAGGCTTCTGTGGCTTCCACAAAGGCAAGCTCGTTAGAAACGCTTGTTGCTGGCAAATGACTTTGAAATGGAAAAACAATAAATTGACGCTTTTGTTGGTAAATGGACTAACTTTCTGCTAACTTTCTTTGTAGACTGATTTATGCCGAAAATTAAATAAAAACTAAATTACCCGTTACCCGTGCGGGTAGTTCTCGCTACCCGCAAGAATGCGGGTATGCGGGTAACGGGTACCCGACCCGTTACCCTCGGCAACCCTAGTAATTAGTAGCAGGGTAGTAAACAATGGTTTCGGAGATCTTATTTTTTCGTATAATATTGCAAATATATTCAACCACGTACCCTCAAAATTTCATAAGCTTTCCTTAAAAGATAAATTTCGTACACAACTTCAAAGCGAGGAAGTCGGGAAACGAATTTTTTGTATAGGTAAGAACCAAAATTCGAGTTACAAAAACTCGAAGAAGTCTTTTCCACATTTCAAAAGAGAAGGGTTTGGCCGTGTAAAAATTCAGATATACACAGAAAAGTATGGAGAATCCAAAAATGTAAACTTCAAATAACCACCTTAAGAAAAACCCTTCATATCGACCCCTCGAAGGTTAAAAACAATTGAATCTTTTTTTAAAAAGTACCCATCTACCTTCGTGCCTGATGCGTCCATGAAGTCAATAATTAATACCAACTATGTGTATCATATTAAGGCCCATAACGTGTGGGTCAGAGCGTATGCAAAAAAAATCTGCGCCAAAACATAAAGAAGGTCAAGAAAAAATGGTGAACGCAAGCCCTTCCAAGCTTTACAACAAAATTTCACCAAAAAGGTTGGCTATTTATGATGAGTCCTACATCCTTGAAAACGTGACAGAAACTCCGGAAAGGCAATTTTTGCATGGGAAATATATCCCTCAATGGAAAACTGAAGAGAAATTAAAATGTTCTTCGAAGTTTCCAAAGAAATCCCAGATGTGGCCGGGGTTAGGCCCATTTGGACATTTTTGGGACCCTTAAGTTCAATAGGGCTGTGCGGGCGAACAGGTTTATTTTCAGAAATATGAGATAGACCGTCTGATTCCTTTCATCAAGGAGTATCAAAAACATAAAATATAATTTTTTTTGTCCGACCTTTGCGATCATCCACCATGCAATAAATCCCAAGGAAGAAATTGACCAAAATGTCAGTTTGGGGTCGGAAGATGGAAATCTCTCAAACGCCCATCATCTACACCCCAAAATCAAAATTTGGACTTTATCCAAGAAGAAATACTCCAAGCTTTGTGAAACAGTCAATAATTTAAGCTCTTGAATATTTAGAAGCATCTTTTACAATCTTAAGAAAATTTATATTCCGTTCTGTGAAAACTTGAAAACTTACAATGAAGTTGCAAAGTTTTCCAGATAAGTACTAATGGTGGGGTGATAAAAAAAAGTTAAATATAACGTGCACAATGGACTTCAGTCGTCTCTGATTACGGATATCTAACGATAGATACATTTCGAATATTCTTCATCATTTTGGCATTTTTGGAATCATTTTTTGACCATTTTTGGGACAAATTTCACATCACCAACTCCCGTGGCGACCCCTCTACCTCCTAAAACTCCTTTTTATACTCTACGTTTTATACTGCGACAACTACTAGGTATTTATAGTTTTGGTCAGGATGCAGCTTAAGGAAGTTTTGTTTCAACCCACCCGAACATTTTCATCTTCCAATAAACTTTGTAGTTTCCGTGATTAAAATTTTTGATTTCAAATTTGAAGATCAATTCTTTCATATTTTGAAGTGCCACATCCATACATACCAACATTGGTAATTAATCTCGTATAAAGGCTGCAAAATTAGACACTTGCGTTACGTAACGGAAGGGGGGGGGGTGGGCTACCAATATTTTGTGATACAAGCGTGACATAGGGGAGGGTGGGTGTCCAAAAAAGGCAATATTTGCGTTATGAAGTTTATGAACGTCCCCTCACACCATCGCATTGCAGGCAAAATTCTTCTTCTGGTATGTTAATAACCCGATTTTTCTTGACTACGAGTAGTTTAGCTCGCATTTGCGAGCCACTTTTATAAGCCCAATCTCAACCTGCCCCCTGTGGTGCGGGAGTCAAAAAAACAGATACACAGCCCAAGTGGCTACTCTTTGTATGATCTGTAAAAATTAAATCAATTACAGTCACTTACCCACGGTGATGCAAAATATCTAATAAGCGAATGAATGAATTTTGGCTTAATTTTGCATGAAAATGACTACTGAGGTTTTTAGTCGAAGCCTCGCCGTATACGGTTTTTTAATTTTTGGTTTTTGAATGACATGAGCTTTAACACCAGTGAGTTAACCCCTTGTTGAAAATTATCCTATTTTTTATTGCTGTATAATGTGAAAATTAGTTTGGTTATATGGATTGGAAATATAGTTTTGGTTATCAATGGCAACCTCGTAGTTATTATAGGCAAGCAAGTAGTTGTTAAAAGCTTCAGGGGACGTGCGTAGGTTGTAGGTCGAATTGCATAATTTTTTAGGGATAATGCAATATGGTATAATTTTTTTTGGTATAAAACAAATTGGTATAAGGGTATATAAGGGATAATTAAAAAGGGAGAATTATACGAAAACCAAAATTAAATTTTAAATTAAAATTTAAACAGTCATGTAGTTGT